CTCAGGTGGAGAGGAGCGCAGGCAATTCTCTCAGGCGTCAATAGCCGTTTTTCGCCATCGATATCCCCGAAAGTTGAAGGTGTAGTAGACCTATCGATTGTGGCCTCCTATCAATGTTTACAAGCACTATGAATTGATATGGACTTTGCAGCGCAGGCAAGTGGTCCATGGGGAAGCGAAGGGCGCACAGGGAACCATAAAAGCTCTCGATTCTACAACAGTTTAGCACCAAAGACAAAGGAAAAGGTAATTTTCTAGTCGAATGATGCGGGCAACTCCGGCCTCAGTGGTCGACGAAAAACGGTTTGTTCCCTGATGGAGAATTTGTGGCTTTGTTTGGCTAACATGGTTGTCGCCATGGGCGGCAACACCCGAGCTCCTTGGTAATTATCCTTTCCTAGCACACGTTCTGCCCAAAACGTCTGCTTTTATCGTTGGGCATTTATGTAAAGGTTCCTGGTTATTATGGTCCCGGTGGTTTGTGCACTCAGATACATGCACAGGCACTAAAAGATTTGTAGTCCTCACCTCAGTCCTTTTGCCTCCTTGGTGCATCGAAATCGAGTATAGTGCATGGACCTGTGAATGCGTCGACAGACTGCTCTACAGGACGTAAAGGAGCGTCTGAGCTAGTGATGACGAAAATAGCAAGGGGCCTACACATTTCAGAGCGTTGACGACAGCGAGCCATCGCTCCGCTGTGGTGGTGTCGGTTTGGTCTTTCTTTCGTTGTTGGCTCGTGCGTGTGTCTCTCTTTTTGTGGACTTTACTTTACTCATTAATGCACGTATTTGCCATTGCCTTTGCACTATTCTCGCGTTTCTGCGTGCCTGGGGAGTTCCGATGGGCGGGAAATCTGCCGCTGCGCTGCAGGTAGCTGATCCCGATGTACAAAAAAGAATCACGAAGGCGCATATTCTGAAAATTCAGAGGGGTTAAGGCTGTACTGGGGCAAGCTAAGCCTCCCAAATTTCTAGTACAGTGCTCTATTTAACAAGAATTAGGAAAGAATTGACAATGATTTTGTCTGTCCGTGTACCTTTGCAGCTACTCGCATCCTAGCTGTCCCACTCTCCTCGCGTCGGAGACTGTGGAAAACGCAAGTGGGGAGCAGCGAAAGCTATTTTACAAAATTCTTGATAGCTACTTATCAAGTTTGTGTTGAGTCTGGAGTCAAGTGTGTCCCTACGAGGCATTGGAGCGCTTCACCGCAAGGCTGCGAAGAGTGCTCCGGTTTGTGGAGCTTCTTTAAGCAAATCCCTTCATTGCATATAGTTCCATGCTCTTCACATAGGTGGATACAACAGCTGGAGCTGAAGGGGAAATGGTGTTGTGCTTCTCACTAAATTTGAGGGATCTGGTGCTGCGGAGTCTTCAGCATGCGCTCTTCTCTCTAAGAATAGGGTCACGCGAGCTTAAGTGGTGGCTCCAGCAAGCCGCATTCAAGGCAATGTATTGCGCTCACTTGTCCTTTGTGAGCATTTTAGCTCGTGGAAGCAGGTTCTCAATCTTTTTGGGGCCTTGGGATATGCCTAAGCGCCTCCTGGTTGAACTGTTGGTGCAACAATAGACATTATCTAAAGCAAACCAACTTCTAAGTAACCGCCGTTTCTCAGTCCCCCGATATTTGGAGACTATTAATGCATCAGAAGGATGCCGATCAGAGCTGCGGTATGAGTGGCATCCTTTGGGTTACAAAGAGAGGGAGGCGCTCACCCGAAACCTTAAATGCTAGCCAGCGCTCTAGAATCATACTGATTAAGGCTTCTGTTTTTTTTGCGATACATGTTCCACGTTTTGCCTCGATGAGCTGCGCTTCGGCGTTCGGAAGTGCAGGGTGTCGCTCTTTCAGGGAACAGTGTGCCAGTGTTGCGTGTAGGAACCTTTCAAACCTTCGCACCAATTGGATGTTTCACTGATTGCTTGCATTGCCTGGAAGAATTTTATATAAATGCGCCTGTTGACAGATGCCTTAAGGCGTTGCCAGTGTATTGCTGGAAACGACTTTCCCAGTGACAAGAAGTGCACGTGTGAGCTGCCTGCAAGTACATGTTTTGCAGCAGTCCCATGATCCATAGGTGGCCTTTCCACACTTTTTACAGTTCTCTGATGGCATCGAAGCACACACACTAGTGGCACTGTCCCACAGAGGCCTATAGCATCTCTCGCGAGCACCAACTTAAGTGGGTAATGGCCGATGAAGCGGATACTTATTCTTCAGCTGTAATCTAAGGAAGTGCAAACGTCCAGCTGCAGGCTTTGGGGTCATATATTAGGCCGATGGAGGCTTAAGAGCTTGTAGCCAGAGTTGAAATAAAGCGTGCTAGGTTCGTTGTGGAAGGTGGACTGCCTTTCATCAAAACAATGGAGCAGCTGTAAAGGAACTTTTGTAGGGAGGCACTGCATTCATTAGCACTCACATGCTTGTGTATTCCTCCCCTATTTCTCCTAATCCTAGCTTGATCAATTAGGCAAATGCAGGATATAGGGTTAGCGAAGGCTAAAAAGCTTTCTTATGTCCTCCAGCTTTGGCATGCGCATGCAGCTCGGTGCCTAGTCTGATACCCCTGCAGATTTTGGACTGGCTACACTGAAACCTTTGTAGCTCCAGCACGAAGGGTACTTGCTTACAAGCGTATTTTTTTCCTAATGCAATTTAGTAAAGCAGCACTTTCAATAGCAACTTCGCTCGAGCCATGAGGACATGGAATCCCGGTACCTGAGCGCCTCGGAGAGGGCAGACAATCTGTTGGAGAGTTTTGCGAATGGCTTCTCATTTCTCTATCCAAAATGCTACGCAGATCTAAGTGTTCACAAAGAATCCGCCGGAAAAAAGGCCTTCGGGCCTTTATTTAGCCCCCTGTTGGCTTGGCTCGGGGACGGCTCCGGGGGAGTGACCTCGCAAACCCTGGCAAGACTTGCTGAATCTCTTCGCCTCGGAAAGCTTAGAGGGTTCCATGGGGAAATTGATTTGTCGAGAAACTCTATTTCTGATATAGACCTCGTGCCACTTTTGCAGGCCCTCAGAACCGTGCACTGCGTTACGGGTGGGGTTCAAGATGGGACGGTTCTAAGCGCACGGGAATTTGAAAAGGAGAAATAGGAGTCTGTTCAGTAGCCAAAAGCTTTTAAAGCTCGTGTAAACTTCACAGTCAACTGACTGGTCAAATGTCCATGTTGCTTTCCCCGTGCAGGCCTCCGATTACGAGACACTTGGATAGGCGATGCCTCAGCTCCCCTCTTAGCAAGTATCCTGAAAGAGAGGTCCTCATTTTTGTCTCTAGATGTATCTGGTACCAACCTTACGGATGTCGGGGTCATACGGCTATGCCAGGTAGCCAATGTCTCGGCTGAGCTACTCAGCGTCTGTTAGATAGTTTTTGGTCCCCTCTCCCCTATCAAGCCTCCTGTTAGAGTTATCGATTTGCTGCGTTCAAGGGATGCACAGACCGTCGCATGCTAAGATAAATATTGATTATGCACCAAGTGCCGCCTTCAGGCGACCCGGGTACACCGCTCAGTCAAGCGTCTGTCCCTTCCGAAGCTAAGGCAAAGGGGTCTCTTCGCTGTCATCGCCGTAATCCAGCAGTGTCCTTTCTTAGACGTACTGGAATTTGGCATTCACGAAAATGTCAGCTCGTTGGAGGCCCCTGGGGGCCTCTGCGAGCCGGATGGACCTATGCCGAGCGCAGCAGGAGTCGTACCCAAAAAATTGTTGGGAAGCCGGAAGAACATGCATGTACCCACACAGGAGGAAGATGATGCAAGAAGTTTGAAAGACAGCGAGGAGGGAAGCTCTGGACTGCCTTTTACTGGGGTTGAAGTGACACGCCAAGCCAAATACATTGAGGTACGCAGATCTCACATAGGAGTCCAGCTAGGAGTATTCGCCTGCTGGTATCTGCAGGCGTTTGCTCGGGGGCTCAGCGGAGAAACGCTATGGCATCATGGAGAGAGGAGTAGTTTTTCTAGAGGGCAGCCTTGCCTGTCGCCGGAGAGCAGAGAGGGGTGCTTAGGATGCTCGCCAATAGTTGGCTTCTTTTGAGGCTTGAGGCGCATGATTTGCGTCTTTAGATGCATGATAGGGCATCTGCTAGTGTCTGCAGGAGTTGAGGGAGGTGCTGGAAAAGCTGTTTGGGATTTACGAGAACAAGCCAAGCCTTAGGATCAACTTGACTGGTGGGGGCGTGGAGGATTTTCGCCTTCGTCATGTTGGACTGGCCTTCGAGCAATTAGCCAAAGAGAGAGAGCTCGCTCTGGAGAAAAATGCCAAAAGCCAAGACAATACAATATTGAGTCAAGATGATGGAGAAGGTAAGGCTATGGGCTCTTCTTCCGCCTGTTACATCCTGCTTAAGCTTTTTGGTGGATGAGAATGAGTTCAGGGGTGTTGCTTTAGTTTGGGCTACTACGTTTGCCAGTTTTACCGCGATTTCTTTAGGTCTGCTGCACTTTTTGTTGTGAAGCGTAGACGTTTCTACACTGCTGCTCTGTGTGTTTGCTTCCGAAGCACCCATGCCCCCTGTGCCTCTGCGCGTCTACGTCTCCTCGGTGCTGGAGCAACGGCTGACTCAGGCATTGATGCGGTTAGTTGCAGCAAAGAAAGAGCTGCCGTGGTGTGTTGATACACCTCAGAAGGAGATGGCCTTTGTAGCCAACGAGCTGTATGAGGGCACATAAGGCGGTCTCTGGTGGTTCCGCTACAAGCAAGCGACAAGCCATCTTTATTTCATAAAAGTTTCAAGGGAAGTGGGGCGTATGTAAACCTCATGACACGACAAGCCCCCATGTGCTTCCCACTTCGTTTTACACGCCTCCAAGATCGGGGTCAGGGAAGCATAGAGCATAAGAACCAATAGGCCCTAAATCCACTTGCATCTTAAGCCCTATGGCGAAACCGCAAGCGTTCATCAAGTTGGCTCCATCCCAGCACCAATGGCGCGACAAACAATGAACTGAAAGCGGAAAAAACGAACGAAGCAGTCCCCCTTTGCCCTCCCGCTATTTGGTTCGGCTGTAGCCCATTCAGGTAACCTCTCTAGCAACGAGCTCAGAACGACTGTCTTTCAGGTCTGAACACATTGCAGACGACTGGCTATCTAGGATGACCAGATACATGTGTGCGACTAAGGTTTGTTGCGGTTTCTTAATTAGCTAGTTTGCCTCTGGATTTTACAAGAATCTTCCCAGACATCGCGCTGCCAAAGGGCAGTTGCGGGAGCGCCTGCACATTGCGTGTCGTGAGATCCTGGCAGTCAGGGGTATGTGCCTTTGTCCTCATGATTTCTCGATGCTGTCCTCATTAGAATCCGACATTTAAGGGCATTATTTCCTCCTAAATCCAAAAAGAGAGGATGGCAGGGGGTCAATTTTCCACCTTCTGCCCCCAGGTGTGGAACCATGACAGGGGGCCCCCTAGAAGGCAAACCGGTCTGCGCTGCGCCACAGTGTCTGCTGCCATGTTGAAAGTGCCACTGTAGTCAACTCTGCTTCTTTTCTTGAGATAATCGAACTCAATTGTGTACTCTCTGCACGGAGAGACGCTCTATTTCCTTTCCTCCATGCGAATCACGCCAGTGCCGCTGCCAGTTCAGCTGCAACAAACCGCTGTGGCAACCCACCGATCTGCGGGGCCCCTTTCCCTCCCTGTCTTTGCTACCCCGCTACAAGCGCAGCGCAAGCAACCTCCAGTGCGACGAGAAGAGAAGCATCAAACACTCGTAGAGCCAGCGGCAGCCTCTGATCGGCGCACAGTGCTTCCGCTGCTCCAAAACAGCAACACGCAGATCTCCTTCCCCCACTTCTTGCTACTTGCACTCTGAAGTCGTTCTTTACAGACGAGCGGGGAGTCATCGTGCATGCAGGCGCTCTGGCGACCTGCTGACGGCGGGCAACGCAGGGGCCCCCCGCGGGGGCCCCCCTAAGACACGGATTACAGAGACATTGCGCCGAGCTGCAGACAGCTGCGCCGGACGCTGCAGATCGGATTCCGCCGGCTTTACTCGAAGAGGCACGATAGGTGCTCCGACGGCAATCGCACCGTCCAGTGCTGCAGCACACCAGGCGGCAGGAGCGCTGCACAGAGCCGCACGCTCATACACAGAAACGTTGAATCATGGCGTTTCATGCTGTTTTTGAGCTCTGCATGCAATTTACTTCTTTCAGAAATGTGGACCTGCTGCATCAGGGAACGTACCGTATTGAATCCCAGGTGTACGTACACCCCGAAACGGAGATCCTGTATCCGACGGAGGCCGAACCAGAAGGAAGCTCCGTTTCTTCGGCAGCTGCTCCTGCCTCTGCTTCCGCCGCCAGCCTGAGCCAGCAGCCCTCCAAGCAGCAGCAAGAGCCTGGAGTGTCAACTTCTTCCGTTCCGACGAGAGGCGTCTCAGGGATAGGCGCGGAGCGGAACGGCAGCGTTGCCGTGCTGCAGGGACCCCCTTCTTTCGTACTGCACAATGTGGCAGCCCAATGGGGGGAATCGGCTGTCGCCGCAGTTCCTTGTGTTCATTTTGCATCGGCAGCCTCAACAGCGAGTGGCAAGGCGGGTCGGTGCTCGGCAGGCGTTGGCACATTGGGGGGGGGCCCCCCAAGAGGCCCTCTGGGGGGGCCCCTCTTATGCCCTGGGGAAGGGGACATACACCCGGAGCGAAATGCATTCGCCAGCAAGCCCTTTTACATCAAGTATTCAGATGAACAGGTATTCCCTGGGGCAGCACGCCAATAAGCGCGAGAGTCTGTGGGATGCTCAGCAAGGCGGCAGAGGGGTGACGCACAGAGTCGCTGTGAAGCACACGCTGGATCGGGGGATGCATAGCGTTTCTGAACTGCTTCATTTTTAGCACTGTAGGTCGATCGCAGGTGCCTCCAAAGGCTGCAACACGCATGGCTGCGCTGCAGCTGCTGTATTTTTCGCGCGAATGTGTGCAGGTCGATTTATCGCAAGTTGTCACGTACCGTCTAGAGATGCCCTTTGCCTCTCTCGCCGCGCTGCAGTCTGCAGCATGCGTGCTGCAGCTGCTACTTTTGTACACTCCAGGCAGTCCAGCCGCGGCAGCCTCAGGAAGCGCCGCCAAGGCTGACTGCTGCACGTACAGCAGCAGCGAGATGGAGGTGTCGGAGGCGGCCAGGAGATCGCAGCAGCAGCACCGACAACAAGTGCATCGTGCACTTGCAGAAGGCTCGACTGAAAGCGAGAAAATTGTGGGTCAGAGTGACGAGAAGGCATCTGCGTCAGCAGATCAGCATATCACCAACAAATCACAGCCTCCGCAGAGGCAGAAGCCGCCTGGAAACGAAGAAAAGAAGGCACGAGCAAACTACCCCACTGCAATAGCCGGCCGATGGCTGTTGCTCAGAAACCTCTTTAAAGGTCAGTATCTCCTCCTAAGACTGCCGTCTCGGGCTGAATACGAGCGTTGTTGCGTCTCTGCTGATATCCAACTTGCTGCAGAGCAAGAGGCGATGGAGGCACCCAACTGAGCAATCCTGCCTGTGCGTTGAGTTCCCCCTTCCTTGTGTGTCTAGGCATCTTCTCTTACATCCCAGTTGTTTTTGAAGGCAGCTCGAGCAGCCTCCTGGAGGTGTGTCTCCACGCAAGACTTTAGCTGGCGGAAGGCGTGCTTCTAAGCCGCTTCTAAGCCGCTTCTAAGCTGCTGCTGCTGCTTGGCTCCCGTTTTGCGAGCCGTTTCTCATGCTGTGCGCGTATGAAAGTGCGTCTTCTGTTGCCCCCTTCGCCTTTCATAACAACCTGCTTCTCCCGCTGTGCTTCTTGACGCGGCTCCTAGCACACCCCTTGGACGCAAGTTGTTTTTTTGGCTGCCTCGCTCGCTCTGTTTCTCCGCTTGCTGCAGGCAGTCGTATGTGCGTGTCTTCTGGATGTGAAGATGCGGCTCCGGCCTGAGCTTCCTGCTGCCGACGGGGGAAGTCTCTCCGCTCTCCTGGCTCCTCAAAAGACACTTGCGGAACGAGCTTATGCAACGGCAGTCCAACGCACACGTGCAGTCAACGCTGCAGCTACCCGCGCTGCTGCAGCTGCAGATCCTGCCGCTGGAGTGCAGGAAGAAGAGGAGGGCCGGCTGGAGGACTGCCTGTGGGGATTCTACGAGCAAGAGCTCTGTCAGCAACAGCAGCAGCAACAGCAGCAGCAACAGCAGCAACCGCAGCAGCAACAGCAGCAGCAGAAGCAGCTGCTGCTGCGAAGTCAACGGGTACGGATCATGAGGAGAAGCAGGGGGGAGGAGGGGCCTCTACTGGAGGGGCATCAAGGAGACTGGTTAATTAGCTCTTCCTTACACGCATTCCTGCTGGCTGCAGGCAGACGCCTGTGTCAGGAAGACTCCGCTGCTGCAGCTGCAGCCGCAGCCTCACTTGAGCACTGCAAGCGGCAGCAGCAGCAGCAACTACTAGAGCCGCAGCAGCAGCAACTACTAGAGCCGCAGCAGCAGCAACTACTAGAGCCGCAGCAGCAGCAACTACTAGAGCAGCAGCAGCAGCAACTACTAGAGCAGCAGCAGCAACACGCAGCAGCAGCAGAGCTAGTGGCGTGCGCTGCTGCACTTCATTTGGTGTATCTGCGGAGTCTCATAGAGGCCAACATGCGTCTGGTGCTGCATTCTCGCGCAATCACGAAGGCATGTCTGCCAAAGCCACAGCGGCTCCTGTTATCGCCGCTGCTGCAACAGCAGGATCTGTTGCTACCAGGAGGCTTTATATTGCCGCTGAGCACGATAGTAGGCACTGGCCATGGTAGTTGTGCCACTGCTGCTGCTGCTAATCCTGCTGCTGCTGCTGCTGACGCGAGGGTCGCTAACGCAGCGTCAGCAGCAAATCCAGCAACTATGCAGCTTGTGGAAGTCTGCATGCCATCGCCTCCGTCCCCCTTGCTGCGGAGAGCGTCCAACACACGCACCAAAAAGTGCAGCCTTTCGAAGAGCCAACGCAGCAAGAGAGCAGCCGTTTGGCTGCCTCAATTGACCTCTCGCGTTTCCCTTCCGTGTACTGCTGAGGATCTATGCAGCGCCTTGTCTTCGGTGAGGAGCTTCTTTGGTGTCTCTCTGTCTCTCTCTCCCTTTGCCGCTGCTGCGGCTGCAGGGGCGACCGCTCCCTCAGAGGAGGGTGCTGTCTACTGCACAGCATCAGAGGTGGCATAGCAGCTGTTTTGCGCTTGCGAATGGCGCACAGGATATACACGAGCTTGCTGGACAGCACTATGGAGCCTGGCAGCGGCTCTGCTGCTCGCTCTGCCAATCGCAGCGAGGTAAGGTGGAAGAGCGTCACACTGGGAGCCGTAATGCCTCCCGTGACAAAATGCTGCATGCTCTCGAATGCGCTGCTCGAGGAGCACCGCAAAAAAGGCGTTTGGGCTGATGCAACCCACCATGCATTGCACATGCGGAATGCGAAGAGAAAGAAAGCCGCTGCTGCGCTCCGTGACTCTCTCTGTCTCTCTCTCTCTCCTCAGCTTTGGTTGCCTTTCTGCGCGTGGAGTGGGAAAGACAATTCTGTCAAGGCTTGGCTCCTTTCATTCTCCACCGCACTCTTCCGGCGACGGCAGCTGCCGTCGCAGCCACGCATCATCGCATGCATCCGCAAAAAGCCCAGCAGCAAGAACGTGAGAGAGCCTCCAGCGAAAATGCCTCACCAGCTGCGGAGGAGCATACCCGCGCACTAGAAGATCTCGCAGTTTTAGGAGTAATTGGAGATCATCGTATAGGAATGCAAAGAGCAAAACGACTTCTGCAAGTTCTCAGAACGCGAGTGGAGCCGCAGCAACTGGCTGTAAGCTTTTTGGCGATGCTGTTGTTGCTGCTGTTGCTGGTGTTGCTGTTGCTAGTGTTGCTGTTGCTAGTGTTGCTGTTGCTAGTGTTGCTGTTGCTAGTGTTGTTGCTGTTGCTAGTGTTGCTGTTGCTAGTGTTGTTGCTGTTGCTAGTGTTGTTGCTGTTGCTAGTGTTGCTGTTGCTAGTGTTGCTGTTGCTAGTGTTGCTGTTGTTAGTGTTGCTGTTGCTAGTGTTGTTGCTGTTGCTAGTGTTGCTGTTGCTAGTGTTGCTGTTGCTAGTGTTGTTGTTGCTAGTGTTGTTGCTGTTGCTAGTGTTGTTGCTGTTGCTAGTGTTGTTGTTGTTGCTAGTGTTGTTGCTGCTATTGCTGCGAAGACAGTGGCTGTGGCTCTGTATCCCTCTACCCTTTTTGCTCCTCAGGAAGACTGGCGTAAAGCTCTGAACCTTCTTGACAGCCGTCTCTTGGATGTTGTGGATAACAAACTGTGAGAGAGGCCTCTCGAAAACTGCCAATTTTCTTGTCTTGCCCCCCTGTCGCTGCTGAACTTACTTGAGCACATCTCTTGTTGCTGCTGCTGCTGCTGGCTGTGTGAAGGGCCTCTCTCTGCGCGTAGCAAGCCTTTATTTTCGTACCGTTGAGCCGTGTCTTTCTGCCCCTGCTGCTCTCTCTGTGTTGCCGCTTTCCTACTCTGCATAAGTCCACTACTGGATTTTTTTCTCCCCACACTGCCTCTTGATACAATCACGCGCTGCCTTCGCGGTCTGACTTGGGGTGGATAGTCCTCGCAACTGGCAGCGGCATTAGCAACAGCAGTAGAAGCACTTGTATTTGAGTGTATGTATGTGTGTGTATGGAGGTATGTATGTGTATGTATGTATCTATGTGTATGGAGGTATGTGTGTGTATGGAGGTATGTATGTGTATGTATGTATCTATGTGTATGGAGGTATGTGTGTGTATGTATGTGTGTGTATGGATGTATGTATGTGTATGTATGTATGTGTGTGTGTGTGTGTATGTATGTATGTGTGTGTATGGATGTATGTGTATGGATGTATGTGTGTGTATGGATGTATGTGTGTGTATGTATGTGTGTGTATGGATGTATATCTGTGTGTATGGATGTATATCTGTGTGCATGCATGTATATCTGTGTGCATGCATGTATATCTGTGTGCATGCATGTATATCTGTGTGCATGCATATATATATTATGTATGTATGCTTGTACGCATGTATGTACGTGGATGTCTGCCTGCCTGCCTGCCTGTTTGTGTGTATGCATGTATGTGTGTGCAGCACCATTGCGGCTGCTGATTTCCCAATTTTCTTTGAAGAGACGTACTGCGGCTGTCTGGACGCTGCTGCGAATGGGAGAAAAGGCTGCAAGTCTTGGTGTAGCCGTCGCTGGTGTCATCAAGGAGCCGCTGGAATCATCGGATACAGCCCTCTTGCTGCTGCGAACGCTGGCTATCTGCCGCTTAGGGTGCAAGGGTCCTTAACAGATATGCCAAGCTTTCCCTCAGAGAGGAAAGCCGTTCATCTGTTTGTTCTCGTTCATGGATTTCAAGGTGGGAAAGAAGAGCAATCTGAGTTTCAACTTTTTCGACTGCTGTTTCCCTCCACGCTACCTCTGCGTCTCTCCCCCTGCAGGCTTGTCTCTGCATGCTTTTTCCAGCCTCCTTTAAGCTGCAACACCCCAGGCCCCTAAGTGTACAATATGCAAATGCCGCATTCTCTTGGTCTGCTAGTCTGTTTGTCTGTCTGTTTGTCTGACTGTTTGTCTGACTGTTTGTCTGACTGCTTGTCTGTCTGCTTGTCTATCTGCTTGTCTGACTGCTTGTCTATTTGTCTGCTAGTCTATTTGTCTGCTAGTCTGCTGGTCTATTTGTCTGTCTGTCTGTCTGCTTGTCTGTCTCCTTGTCTGTCTCCTTGTCTGTCTGTTCGTCTATTTGTCTGCTAGTCTCTTTGTCTGTCGTCTGACTGCTCATCTGTCTGCTAGTCTGTCTGTTTGTCTATTTTTCTGTCTGCTTGTCTGCTTGTCTGTCTGCTTGTCTGTCTGTTTGCCTTTCTGTGCTCTCTCCCTGGAGCTAACGGTCTTGACTCTGTGCGGGTGCCGCATCAGCGTGTATCCCCCGCCTATCGCTTTGTTGCCTCGGCTGCGTTTCAAGTCGATATTTGACTCCCCCAATTATCCTGCACTCCTCTTTCTCTTTGCCCTCCACAGTCCGTGTGTCGATCCTTGGCCCTTCTCTCCCTCCATCCCGCTGCCGAGTTAGCAGTGTGCTGTGGAGACTAAGGTGTTTTTCTGCCGTCTGCTGCTCGCTCCGTCTCTTGTGCCGCTCTGCCCGCTTGTGGTGGATGGATATGCATTGAAGCCTCTCTTGAGAGTGTGTCGTGGGGGGGCCAGATCGTCGATCTCAAAAGGGCACCCATGCTCCTAGGCAGACAGCAGCCTGAGACGCTTGCGAGAGAGAGGAGAGGAGAGGAGAGGCTGTGTTGTATCCGAGGGGGAGAGAGGGGGAAGAGGCGTGCATGCATGCGAGGGCAGCCTAACAATGCCTCGAGAGAGAGCGAGAAGCACTCAAGGAGGCCTTTCACACAGCAGCCAGGAACGCCATGCATGCCTTTGTCTGCGATTTGCTGCGAATCGTCTGCCCCCCACTCGCAGGCTCTCCTCAGGATTTTCGTGTCTTCAAAGCGATGCTTTGCGCCTCTTATCAGAACGTGGCTTGTCTTGCGTCTACCGCCAATACGGACGATACAGAGGGTTCGGTTCACGCGCTGCTCCAACGCAGAAGATACTGCTTTTTGTTGCCAGTTTTAGAGGGTGATTGCGAAAACAAGTCTGCTTCTCGGCAGCCCAGTCGCTGCCGTGCCTGTACCCCCGCGAAGGGCATGTCTTCTTTTGACAGTCTCTGCAGTAGTTGCTGCTCTTGTGAATGCTCCAGGTGACATTGCAGTAATGGGGGAACGCCTAGCTGACGAGGTGCTTACCTACGTGAAGAGCTTCTTCGGAAACTCTGGCGTGGAAAGGATATCCTTCGTGGGGCATTCCCTCGGAGGCATTATCGGTATATATGCTGATGTTGTTGCTGCCAGTGGTGGTTGTGTTGCTGCTAGTGGTGTTGCTGCTTGTGGTGTTGCTGCTGTTTTTGCTGCTGCCAGTGGTGGTTGTGTTGCTGCTAGTGGTGTTGCTGCTTGTGTTGTTGCTGCTGTTTATGTTGCTGCTGCTGTTTATGTTGTTGCTGCTGTTTATGTTGTTGCTGCTGTTTATGTTGTTGCTGCTGTTTATGTTGTTGCTGTCGTTTATGTTGTTGCTGTTGTTTATGTTGTTGCTGTTGTTTATGTTGTTGCTGCTGTTTATGTTGTTGTTGCTGCTGCTTTTGCTTGGCTTTCCACGGGGGCTGTTGCCCCTTCGCCTGCCTGTTAAGGGAGGAGGCGTAGGATTAGCGGCAACTGCGATGTGCTTGTTGCTGCGTTGAAATATCGTTGAAGAGTGCTGCCTAGGCCTGTTTAGCAGGCAGTTGCAAGTGTTGGTGCCACAGGCAGCTGTTGCCGATCCTACCGACCCCTCTTTTTCTTCCCCCCTAGCGTGTGTGCTCGGCTGCAGGAGCGTCGGAAGAAGGCCCTTCTTCCCTCTTTCTCTCTGTATGTTTATATATGCACGTATATATACATATTTATTTATATATTCGTTTGTGTTTATGTATGCTCCGCGGAACGTGTGGTGCTGCAGTTCGGGCTGCCTTGCCACATTTGCGGAAGCCTTTAGGCAGCTGTTTTCATCTGTACGTTTCTCTGTCGTCGCCTCACTTTGGTCTGCTCAAGGGCAGAAGCCGCATCGTCTCCTTTGGCCTTTGGCTGCTTAAGAAGTGGAGAAAGAGTCTCTGTCTGCAGCAGCTCACCCTCTCGTACGCGAGATCCGTCCTGCGCTGCTGCTGTCGCTGCTGATGCGCATGCTGCGATTGGCTAGACCGCTTTTTGGCCTCTGCGCTTTGGCGTCTCGCCTCGGAGTTGCTGCTCCTTAAGCCCCCTGCTTGTGGGCATGTTGTGCTGCTGCCTCGAGTCTCGCGCGTCGCATGCGTCTCACGCGGATCCCCCTAGTCGGAGCTCGCCGGTTGCTGCTGCTTGCCGATTGCTGCTGCACAGGGACAGTCGAGACTTGCGGCAGTGTTACTTGTACCGCTTGAGCCGCTGCGACGCACTAAGCCTTTTTGAGCACTTGTGCTTTCTTGCCTCTGCTCAAGACGCGTACGCTCCACTGCACTCTGCGGCGATGCTGCCGCTGCATCAGCAAGACGTAGACACAGCGGCGGGGGCAGCTGCTGCACAGCCTCCTCCTATCTGCGTGCTTTCTCCTCGGGGAGTACACACCGAGTCTAGCTCCGACTGTAGAGAGGCAGTCGAGTCGCGCTGGAATCCCTCGTCGCCAGTCGCTTCACCTTCTCTCGAAGAAGCTCTGGGAGCTGTCAGAAACGTTCTAGATGGCGAGCGCTCAGCACGAGCTTTCCCCGACACGTTGCCAGCAGACAGGCAGCAGCCCTCTCCCATCGATGCGTCTTCAGAAAGCGAAACTCCCAGCGTAGCCTGGACAGATGAAGTTCTCGAAGAACACGCGGATACTCCGCAGAGCTCTCTTCACGAAGGCGTCTCAGACTCTGAAGATGCGCTGCCGCAGCACCAAGCTGCAAGGTACGTCTCTCTCTTTCTCTCTTTCTGGCTGTCTCATGCATAGGCTCATACAACACTTCTAGTCCCGCATTCATTGCACCACAAAAAATGGCATCAAGATATGCATATATATATGGATATGCATATATACACGCTGGCCTATGCACAAATATATCGACATACTGATATACACTTGTACAGACTACCTATATTTACTCATGCATACATATATATATACACATATATACACATATACACACACATGATATACAGATACGCATAAAAAAACATACATACACACATGATATACAAATACATGCACATGCACACTTTCCCCCACATACATACATGTACACATACACATACACACGCATACACCTACAAACACAGATACACACAAACACACACACAAACGTATATATATGCACATACTTACATATTATTAGACATCTTTTCCATCCTAGATGTGTGTGGCCTCTCCCAAAGACATAGCCATATCCTGGCATCCCTCAGTCGGAACATTGCTGCATGGCTACCCCCCGAGAAGGTCATGCGGATTAACGTTATCTTTAAGATCCGGGAGAAGTGAGCTTTCCCCTCGCACATCGTTTGTATGCCTCTCTTTTATATGTACTGTTTTCTGTAGCTGTCCGGCTGTGAGCTCTTCGCGCTGCTGTCTATGGTGCATGCCGTCTTCTTACCTCCTCAAAATGCCTTCTCTTGCATGCGGTCCTGGTTTATCGATGCCGTCCTCATCGACGCCGCTCGTGCCCCCTCCGCACACCCTCAACCCCTCTCGAACGGACTCTGCTGCTTCTGATTCTTCCACGAGAAAAGGGCACCAGACACGAGTTGCTGCATTCGCCTCGATGGCTTGCCGGTGCTTTCCATAGGTCCTTCGACTCGTTCATCGGTAGAGCCGCGCACATCCAGTTCCTCGAGAATGAATGGTTCATGCGACAATTTCTTCTCTTTAGCCCGCACCTCTTCAGATGAGTGAGGCCCTTAGGCAGCGGGCTAGATGGTATACGCGAATAGCCTGCAGAGCTGGTGCCAGAATAAGGGGACTAGCGTGTTAGCAACACGCAGGGGTTTGAAGACTGCTCTCCCCCTCTTTGTAAAGGCGTGGAGGGAAAATGCGGAACGGCGAGTTCTATGCCTAAGCTTACCTACATTGTATACATATAGAGGTACTTCAATGAATCAAGCTATGCAGAAACACGGGGCATGCTGCCATGCATGCCACTCCTTTTCCCGCCTCACACCTCCTTCAGCAGCCAAGAACCCATGTAGTAGCCTCTGAAAGGCGTAGGCTGATGGTCAGCATTAGCAGCAACGACAACAATAGCAGCCCCCTTAGCAGCACCTCTAGACGGTGCGCGAAGGGTTGAAGACGAGGCGACAGTGTGCGTGTCAGCGCTGCGCTGCTGCTTCGCTGATCGCGGTCGACCCTTTGCCTTCTATAGGCGTCTACGGAGGGACTGAAGCCTGCAAGTGGCTGTGCCTCCTCTAGATATACAGCAGCAGCGAGTTACTCGCACGTAGTAGGATGCATGGCGGGAGTGTGCGGGAGGGGCCCTTCTTGCCCCTCTTCCCGTCCCACACTGCGACTCGACAACTGCGCACAGACACTGCGATCGGCTTTTCCAGCAGAATTCTTCAGTGCCGCACGCGATAAGTGTGCATGCAAGACCTAACAACAAGTGCTCCAGAAGACGCTGTGCAGGGAGGGCTGCTGTTAATGGCGCACTCATAAATCTTCCTCGAACTACTCGTCACATTAATAGAGTCTAGAAACTTTGGGAGAAAAAGGGGGGGCCCCTTGAGGGGCCCCGTCTCAGAGGCGACCACCCAGGGGCACCGCCGCGCTGCTAGAGCATTCGGTACAACAACGATGAGTGCGCGGTGGGCTGTTTTGCCTCGACACTTGCTGCTGCGCCTTTGTGCTTTTCGGCTACAAAAAGGCAGCAGCAGCAGCAGTGGCTGCTGCTGCGAAGGGATGCTGCAGCAACTGCAGTAGCAAGTCTGGTTGCTGGCGCTCTTAGACTTTGTACAGTTACGCTACACTACGACAGAGGCGCTCTAGAGTGCCTGTTTCACTGCGCCTACTGTACCGCGCAATGCGTATCCCTCTACATTTGCTGCTGCTGCTGCTGCTGCAACCATTGAGGATCCACTAGCCACCTAGGCCTATTGTCTACTGGGGGCAGCGGCTGCATAGCGGGCGGTATGCGGTCGCCTATTTCCTCATAAAGCCGTTCTTTGCATTCCTTAAGGCCTTGCAGCACTCTGCGGCAGAATTTGTCTTCGCCCTCCCCCCTTCCTGTTGCGCATGCCGCTTCTCCCTTCTGCTCTGCGGCAACGGCAGCAGCCGATTTGTCTTGCAAGTGCAGCAGCAACAGCGTCTCGTCATGGCACTGCTCCCTCAGGAGCTTCGCCAGCTCATAGCAGCGCCAGCCGTTGGTCTCCTTGTCCGCCTGCTGCATGTGCTCCTGCCAGAGCTGGCTGCTTCTGCGGCTGCTGCGGCTTTCCTGCAACAGCAGGAACATAATCAGGGAACCATTGAAGACGAACGAACCGTATATTAGCTTGTTCGTAAACGGCAAAGCCGCCCAGGCAGCCTTCAGGCCACGCCAATGCTGCAACAGGCTCATTTTAATGCAGCAGCAGCAGCTGCTGTTCCCCCCTGTTGGCGCACTTGCTGTTATTTCGCCGTATAACGCGCGGCGTACGAAGGATGCGCACAAAGTATGGCGACAGATAGAAGCCTACCCAAAGCAGCTACACCACCAGCATGCAAGGTCCCTGTAGAGGCGCATGCGTAGGCGGAGGTGGGAGGCGAAAAGGGTTTTCCTAGTGGACTGCAAAAGTTTCCCTGGGCGCTCTCAAGAAGATTTGCCCCGGTAGTGCTGCTCCTCTTAGAACTGCCCCTTGAGCCACCACTGCTTCTGCTACTGCACCAGCCCCTGAGACACTGAGCGCTCTCGAAAGTAAAGACATGAGGCATATTAGCGACTGTCACAGATAGAGTCCATGGGTGCGCGGCGGTTCAAGTTGCCCGGGTGTCACTACAGCAGTTGCAGTGGGCGCTCGCACAAGGGGCCATGACACGAGCCCTTCTTTCAAGCCGCAAATTCCCATAGAAACACTGGATGAAACAGCAGCAAGTTCAGCCCAAAAAGATCATGAAGATCAGCCCGCCCCCCCGTGGAGCGAACTGGAAACAGTCCCAGTGTGGCAGCTGAATGAGGATGCTGCAGCATGCAACGGCTGCCACTCCGGGAACCCCTGCAGCTGCAGCAGCAAGCTTGCAGCACATAAATGCCATTCAGCTTTGTATGAAGAATCTAGAGGGATAGATTCGCTGCAGCACCGCGTGCCGCTACCCCTTCTTCTGTTCGCCGCCCTTAGCCTCCGCCTCTGCAACCCCCGCCACTGCTGCCGCAACAGACACAAACAAACACGTCTTCTGCGGCGTATTCCAGGCGTCCTCGGTAGAGGACACTGCAGCCTAGTCCTTATGCTTGGCGTTCCAGCTGCCTGGAAGCAGCAGAAAACGCAGTAGCAAGACGCGCATCTGGAGGGCAGCATTCCGCCCGAACGTCTGCCGCTGCACAGGCTGCAGCGTCTACACTGCGGCAGCATAACGAGCTGTAAAACATAAGGAGGGATTTTGTGAGGAGGAGCGTCGCCATCTTGCGGCCTTCTGGGTGTCTTTCGTGTTTTGTCGCTTTTCAGGCGCTTTGTACAGTAGCAGCCGCAGCACCAGCGCAGGTGGCTAAATGCGCACGCATCGGTGGGAATAAACAGCGAGCGACGGTGCTTGCCACTCGGGGAACAGCTGAAGAAGCTACTGCTCTCTCTATGTAGACGGAGTCCAGTCATACTATGCGCTGAGAGTGACAGACACAGAGAGAGAGGTACTGCCGCCATCCGTGTAGCAGCCGACACAACAGAACCCCCATTCGTTCGTCTATCTCTCTCTCTCTCTCTCCCCCTCTTGTGGCTGCAGTTCACTCACTGTTCCCGCCCTTCGTAGCAACACCTGCTCCTGCCCGCTGTCTACTTCGTCTGCTGTTTTTCTCTCTGTTGCCTCTGCCCTCCTTTGCCTTTCCGCCTCGCGTCTCCTCTCTGGCGAGACAGCTGCCGCGAGGCAACGATTTGCAGTGTATAGCTCTCCGCAAAGGCGGCAGAAGCAACTTGAGACAATGACGTTTCTTGTCGAGTATACGAAAGACGGCAGCGCAGTGCAGCAGTGGCGCCTGCGTGAAGGGAGCTGCTACTCTCTGGGAAGGAATACCAACTGCAGCATCGTGTTACCACACATCTCGATGTCAAGGCGGCATGCCTTGCTGCTGCTGAGGTCTGCGCCAGCGGCTACAGAGGAAGCCGTTGTGGAGCTTCATGAACTGGGAGCGGTGAACGGCACTTTGGTAAACGGAGAGAGAGTCAGGGGGCGATCCAGAATCGTTCTTCCCAAGGAGGCGGCGCTCTCTTTTGCAGAAAATCCCCATGTTTACAGATTGCTGCCAAGTAAGACATGTCCTGCATGCAGCATCCTGCATGCAGGCTTCGATTTTTACGCTTTTGTTTGGAATTCTCCTCGATAAACGCACACAGAGACTTGCACGGAGACGTTCACAAGTGCTCTAGGAATGTCAGCCATGCGAACCTACCTACCCATGTTGGCAACCAAGTGACAGTGTAGTAAAATTGCTGCTGGTGTGCAGCAGGAACTACTTCATGTTGATGCTAGCAACCTGCCATGCACGAGCATATTTGCTACGACGTTTAGGCTCTTTCACCACTATCCCTTTGTTGACGGCTGATGCGGGCGCTGATATGCTGCTACTTTTGTAATGCTGATATGCTGCTGCTTTTGTAATGCTGATGCTGATGCTGCGTGTAGGATCTGTGGTGGAGGGAGGCGTTGAGGTTTTTCGTCCCCGTAGCTGCTCCCCTCCAAGCTCTGAGGAAAGACGGCAGTCACGTTCTCCAGAGAGGCTTCAGCAAAGCCTCTCCGGACGAAGCAGCAGCACTGCCAAGACAGCTGAGAGCTCGAAGGGAGGCTTTGAGGAGGCAGTCTCGGGTAGCAAGAGGCGCAGCAGCAGCAGCTCCGGGAAGAGTAGAGAGCAACAAGAGGGGGGTGTTCGTGCTGCTGCTGCTTCTGAGTCACTGGAAGGCAAGACGAGGAATGCACTGTCTTTCTCTCATTCACACATGCCGCCTACTGCAGACACGCAGAATTGCCCCCAAAGCGTCAGCAGCAGCGAGGCGCGTGGGGAAGACAACAGCAGTCCAACCATCAACAGCAGCAGCAGCAGCAGCAGCAGCAGCAGCAGCAGTGCTGCTCCTGGCGGTAGACGTCGCAGTCGTTGGACCCGACGTTCGCCTTCTCCGGGAGCAGTTGACTCGAGCAGCGGCTGCCCAGGAGAGCAGCAGCAGGAGAGGCATCAGAACGAGCATCAGAGAGAGCATCAGAGAGAGCAGCTCGAAGCCGACAATCTGAGCGCTCTGCTGGCGAGACTGAACGAGGCCAAGAGGCAGCGGGAGGCTGCGAAGGAGCAGCAGAAGCGACAAGAGCAGGCTGCTGCTGCAGCGGTAGCTGTGACTGCAGTAGCCGCAGCAGCAACGGCCGCTGCTGGCGGCTCTGGTCTTAGCGTTCAGGAGAAGCGGCGTCTGCTGTGGAGCAAGAGGAAGCTGGGAGAGCAGCAGCAGGAGAGGCAGCAGCAGCAGGAGAGGCAGCAGCAGCAGGAGGAGGCGGATGCGGATCCCAACCGATACGTTTTGTCGTTCGGAGGAGACTCGGAGAAGAAGACAAAATTCTTGAAGCTCATGGGTCATAAGGGAGATCCTGTCGCCGCTTCTGCGCCTTGCGAGGCTCCGGTAAGCGAAATTCGCATTCGAGGAGAGGGCTGCACAGCTGCCAGCTGCCCCGTGCAACGTGCGGGAGGCAGCCTCAAGCAAGCAAGTCGGTTGTGCCGTTGTCTTGCTGCCTCCGCAGGCTGCAGTGCCTCACTTGGACCCCAAACAAACGCACCGCATCAACTGCGAGTTGGAGCTGCAGTACTATCAGGGGATTCGTCGCAAGGACGGCAGGAAGACTGGTCTTGGCCTCTAGTCTGCTGCGCTTGCTGCCGTTCGAGTGCGTTGTTGTGTGAAAAAAGGCTCTCGCTATTTCGTAGCGAGCAGCTGTACAGCCTCTGGCTCCCTAGGTAGCTAGTCTGGGCTGCAGACAGAGGTATATATAGAGAGAGAGAAAGAGAGCACTGTCCACGCGCGCGCGACAGCGCGCTACCTACCCCGCCAGGCAACCTCGCGATTCTGCTCTCGCCTCTCCCCCCACAGCGCAGTAGCTGAACTGCACTTCCTCTCCCCTCCCACCGCTACCGTTTCTCCTCGTGAGCCGCCACGGAGGTGCCAGACAAGGCAACAAAAAGTCTGCCCCCTCTGGCACAGTCCTCCGTGCGTCTTTGGCCTTCGTGGGCTGCCACCCACTCGAGTGTGAGGAGCTGCTGTAGCGACAGCGCGCGTGTCTCAGCGTCAGACCCCCGCTGCGAGCCTCCTGCTGCTCATGGCGAGCCAAGTCGAAGGCTTCGCGGAAGGCTCTTCCCCAGCTTTTTCAGTCGTAGAAGCCTTCCCCAGTGTCAGCCAGCGTGCACACCGCTTGCAGGCGCCTCACGCACCAACGCCTCGCTAAAGGTGTCCATGCTGACACACCGTAGAAGGCCCCTCAACCCGCACTCTACACAACTCGGTAGAATGCTTTTGGCTGTGTCTTGCGGGAAAAAGGAGCTTCCACCAGCCTCCGCCCTAAATAGTCTCGAGGTGCCGCGAGGAAAATCGCAGGCTACGGTGCGCGCTGGTGCACAGTAGAGACACTGGGAGGGCGCAACTGGAGGGCCAGTGCAGCCTCCACAGTGTGCGAGGTTTCCACTGCTTTGGCGAACTCACCTCTCCGTCGACATGCTCTACGGAGGGCGAACTCGGAAGGTTAGTTTATTGCTAATGCCTAATTGAATGGAGCAGATGCAAGGCAGTGCGCGCGAGCGAAGCGCAGCCTCTCGCACGTGACCCCTGCCTGCCTCGCCGGCTGGCAATTCCACGCTTGGTGGCGCTTATGCTGCCGACTTTGGGCAGCGTGTCGAGCCTAGTGACTGCCAAAGAAGGAAAAGCGGCTAGAGTGTTTCTACATGCGTGTGTGTGCCGTGTCTTTGACGGGGGTCCCTGTCTCTACGCCGGATGAAACACAGCTCTGCAGCGTGCTCACCTGCGGGCGAAGTGCGTAGTGGCGGCAAATCCATGACGAAGGAGCATGCAAATGGCGAGGGAGGCGTTGCTCTAAGGAAGGCGTTAATAAGAATTCTCAGAAAATCTTTCTCGCCGTGCCGGGCAGGCGTCAATCGTCCCCGAGGGAAGCCTTTTTCTGGCGTGTGGGGAGTCCATGGGTGCAGGATTTAATCGTTAAACGGCGTTTCTTGCTTCCGAGCTCCGAAGGCAAGGTTTGCGAGGCGTTGGTGTCGAATAGGAGGGCCAGGGAGGGGACTTGCAAGCAGACTTTGCACTGCTCGGTGCTGTGTCAGTCGGTCAGAGAGCGGCGCGAATACGCGGCGGGTGGGAAGCAGCGCAGCTGCTGCGGGGAGCAGCCACGAAGGATAGCCAGGGGGTGCCGTTCGCTGCGGCGCCTACCCCATAAACGAAAATAGATTTGGCGGATATTGTTGAAAGAAGGATTTTTACGGGAACAAATTGAGGAATAAGCAAAAGGAGAGGGGAAGAGGACCTATATATACACACGCACACGCTTCAGCAGAGAGGGGGGGTGGTCCTCACCAGCGCTGCTGAGAGTATTCCTCCATAGAGAGTACACAGCATCCACACCGCTTTTGTTGGGTGCAGCCACCTGCTGCCGAAACGCGACAACGGGCATATCTAGCGGCTTCTTTTGCCCAGAAACGCAGCGAATTAGCGTTCAATTACCCTTAGTGACTTTATTTCTCCAGGAAGTAGCCTAAACACGCGCGCTCTCCCAGCAGATAGACCCTAACCCCCACGCCCAGCAACGGTAGTGCCGGGGGGTTGTGTTGCACGCAGCCGTGCCCCCTGCTGCCTTCCGTCGCTCCTCTAATTCTCGTTCTTTGTTTCGTCGGCTGTTTCTGCTGGAGCTTTTGTCTGCTTTTTCCCCTGGCAGCAGAGCTAGCGCCTCCCCGCAGTTCGGAAAGCCGCACTCTTCCGCAGCCCGTCTCGCAGCACCACGGGGTGCCCCTCCCTTCTCCTGCCTTCCCTTCCGCGCAGCTTCTTCGCGGCAGCGCAGACAGCAGACGCACAGGCTGCACGCCATACACCAGCAGGCTGCCTCCTGCGAGCCTACTGCCCCCGCAATCCTCGCCTCCTCACGGTTCGAGGGCAGGAGGGAGCAAGGCTTCTCCGCCCCTCCCAGAGCGTCGTGCTGCTCCGCCTGACACCACCGCGCGCACTCAACGACCTCCTCCGACTGCCAAACTCACCTCGCCGCGCTCTCTAGAGCTGCACGCCTCAAGACTAGCGCCCTGCGGCGGCTTTGAGCCGCCGCAGGGCCTCTTTTTTCTCCCCTTTGGAGACAAAGTCTCTGCGTTTTCCCCTCGCTCTGCATGCGCATGCGTCTGCCTGCTAGCTAGCTAGCTGGCGAAGCCGACGACGACGAAGGGGTCGACGCGAAGCCTGCTTCTTCCCGCCTGCTCGCAGTAGCGGTCGCCCGCGCTCTGCTCCCCACCCTCCGCTTCCACCTCTTCTTTCCCTCTCTCGGAGGCAGCGGATTGCGGAGAAAGGCAATCATGACTGAAAGTTGCGACGCAGACCAAGCCACCCCTGCAGTGTGCCCCACGGATGCGCCTGACGGAGACTGCGGTAGAAGGGGAGCAGCTGTCTTCTCGACTGCCGTCGAGGCTGAGGCTGCGACTGCCCCCTCGCTGCCTCTCCTGGGGAGGACTGCGCCCTTCTCCCCGCCAGGAGAGCAGCAGCAGCAGCAGGAAGCGGCAGCTGCTGCTGCTGCTGCTGCTGGCAGCTCCGACAGTCCAGCGTCGTCTGCTGCGGCGGCGGCTGCTTCCGCCTCCACGGAGGAGCAACAGGGAGCTGCTGCTGCCGCAGTCGCCTTGGCAGGCGAGCTCAAGCTCCCCCTGGTAAGTTCGAGGCAGGCTGCGTCAAAGCGAGCAGTTCGAGGGAAGAACGCCTCAACTTGTCGCATGCAGTGGCTCCATTGGGCGGGCGGATAGGGGTAGAGGGAGACGCGCGCCTTCCGTGGCTTTTAGGAGACGCGAGTTGTTGTGCTGCTGCTGTCGCCGCTGCTGTCTGAGGCGAGATTCCTTTCATGCTTATGGTGTGGCTGCTGCTGCGGCTGCTGCAGATGGCCTCTTACCTCCGGGGGATGGCGCTAGGTTCTCTCTCGATCGACGACTTGCCTTCTCCGCCTTGCAGCACGATCTCTTCCGCGTCTTCTTCGCCAACCGCCGTTGCGGGGAGCAAGCAGCACGCAGGTGTGTCGGCAGCGGCAGCAGCAGCTGCTGCTGCTGCTGCTGTAGCAGCGGGCACGCCCTTTATCGACATCGGGCAGCAAGCGGCAGCAACAGCAGCAGCAGCAGCAGCTGCGCATTTTCCTCAGCTGTCTGTCGGTCTTGCTTCTCCAAGACTTCCAACTCCCCTGCCGCAAGCTGCAGGGAGCACCAGCGCCGCTCAGACGGATGCTCTGCAGCAGCAGCAGCAGCAGCAGCTCCTCTTGCAGCGTCAGCAGCTCCTCCTGGCGTTCGCTAACCAGCACCACCAGATGCTGGGAGCCTTGAACAGGGGGGGAGGGGTCCCCTCTGCGCTTTCGGCAGATGCTGCGACTCTAGCCTCTTTTGGCGGCTACAGTTCTCTGCTGATGGATGCTGCAGTTGGAGGCGGCGACGGCACTGTGCCTTCCTCCGCTGCTCTAGGGAGCACTCCTGCAGGAGCGACAAACGCAGCAGCAGCAGCAAATGCAGCAGCAGCAGCAAATGCAGCAGCAGCAGCTGCTGCTCAGGGTCCTTTGGCTTCTGTGGGGGGGGGGGAGTCGTCTGCTGCAGCGGCAGCAGCACTGGGTGTGTTTGACGCGTCTAACAGCTGTGCGCCTCTGCTGCATGCACTGCCCTGCAACGCGAGCAGCAGCAGCTCCCCCCCCCAGCAGGCTTCAGCCGCGAATGTTTCTGCGCTTGAGGCGACTGTGTCTGGGCGTGGTACTGTGGGGAGGGGGGAGAGCTCTTCCAGTGCCTCTTGCGCTGCTGCCACTGCTGCTGTCGCGCCGTACAACTCGACGTGTTTCAGGCTCGCCTTGACCTCTGCGGAAGGGGGGGGGGGAGGCTCCAGCGCGCTGAGTGGCATGGCTACCCCTTCCTCTGGAGTGGGGAGTGGAGCAGCTGCCTCGGGAGCTTTGCCGAAGAAGTACAGTGGCGTCTGGTTCGACCCGCAGCAGAATTGCTGGAGAGCATCGTGGGTGTGCGCTGCAACAGGCAAGCGACGCTTTCGATACTTCTCCGCCGCTAAGTTCGGGCATGAGCATGCCTTGCAGCTAGCCACGGAGACGAAGGAGCGAGCTTTAGAAAGGAAGAAGGTGAAGACGCAGCAGCAGCAGCAGCAGCAGCAACAAGGGGATCTTGGCGGAAGTGTCTCTGGCCTTGTTTCGAGATTTCCGAGTGCTGCTGCGCTCGGCGCAGCGGCAGGCTTGCACGGGGGAGACACCCCCCAGCTAGCCGTGAAACATGAGACGCTAGAGCAGCAGCATCTACAGCAGCAGCAGTTGCACCAGCAGCAGCTTCCGCAGTCTCGCCGCCTCCGTCTTCGGAAGCTATGCCCCCCCTCCGGGGGAGCAGCAGCACCGGCAGCAGCACCGGCAGCAGCACCGGGGGGGGGAAGCCTCCGGATCCTCAGATTTTAGCAGCGCGAGCTCGAGAAATTACAAAGGTTCCCGGGGTGTATTACGACGGCGCGCGAATGATATGGCGTGCCTTCTGGCACGAAGGCGGTCGTCGAGTTATTCGGTACTTTACGGTGAACAAGCATGGCTTTAGGAGGGCGCACCAGCTGGCGCTGCTCACGAGGAAGCAAGCGGCGGAGGCGATGCAACAGCGACGTCGAAAGCTTCTTGTCGGGGAGGGGCAGGGAACGGGCTTGCAGCAGGGAGGCTTAAATCGGCCCCAACTGTCGCACTTGGATGCTCAGTACGATGCTGCGAACGCTCGCCTAGAACGCGCGTTGAAGCAGATCGAGGAGATGGAGGAGGAGGAGGCAGCAGCAGCTGCTGCTGCAGGTGCAGGTGCAGGTGCGGCAGCGAGTGGCGCGCATCCCGCCGATGCTGTTTCGTCGAGCGTCGCCGTTCGTGGAGGGGTTGCTTGCCTCGGCGCTAACCAGGCCCCTTCTTGCAGTGCTGCACGGGAGGCGGAAGGCGGCAGGGACCGTTTAGACATCGCTGGCGACACGGGAGCTGTGGGGCAGAAAAAGAGCCTCGTGTCTGCTGTCGCTGGGGGGGGGGGCCCCTCTGTCGGGTCGGTCGCCGGGTGTAATGACAGCGCCTCGGGGGCGGGGGCGGGGGGCCCCCCTGCGTATTCTGGCATTAGCAGCCGCGTCGACTACGTGGAGAGGGTCGCTCAGCTGCCTCCTGAACCGCAAGTGGAGTGGTGCGAAGCTCTCAAGGCGTGGGTTGTTACGCCGGCAGACGACGAGGAGGGGCCCCTTGGGGGGGGCCCCCATCGGCTTGTCATTCCAGAATCCGGCAAAACCGTCCTCAAGATGTTCACGATACGCAAATTCGGATTTCGGGTGGCTCGCGAAAGAGCTTTGGAGTGGAGAAATAAGCGGAGGGAGAAAGCCATGCAAGAATCTAGTGGTCGCAGAAGTCGCCCGGCGACACACGCCAATGCGACGGTGAGGCAGAAGCAGAAACTGTAGCAGCAATAGCAGCAAATGCCATGCAGTACAAGCTGAAGCCTCAGCGCCTCCTGTCATGCCTTTTCGAAAGGTGTTCGTGTATGGAGGTGTTTGTTTGTTTCGTGAGGGTCCGTGTTTGTATGCGTGGGTGGCGTGCGCGCATGTGCTCATGTGCCCACCCAGTGCATATGAATGTGTACTATGTATGTATCTATGTATGTAACTGTGTTTCTATGTATGTAACTGTGTTTCTATGTATGTAACTGTGTTTCTATGTATGTATCTGTGTTTCTATGTATGTATCTGTGTATCTATGTATGTTTCTATGCATGTATCTATGTGTGTTTCCATGCATGCATGTATCTATGTATGTTTCTATGTGTGTTTCATACTACGTGCGCCAATGTGCAGATGCTGTTGGAGCCAACGCCCTCGGCTGTCTCGGCGCCTGCTTCTGCTGTATCACCGAGTTATTCCACGAGCACATGTGCATCGACGCCAAGCCCTTCAGCGTCTCCAGCGGCTGCAGTTGTACCCGCATCGGCTGCAGCAGCAGGGGCGTCTTCGGGATCGGATGTGTGGAGTGGCATGTGCAGCAGCGGCAACAACAACGGCAGCAGCAGAAAGCGGTTGGCAGCGGCAGCCGCTGAGACGTCTGCTGCCGCTGACTGTGCTACCCCCGATTTATCTGCCCTTGTGCCGGAGGCGCTGCCTGTCGGAAGTGCAGGAGGTACGGCAGCAGCATCATCAGGAGGAGGGAGCGGCAGCGTGGAGGTTATGCGAAGTGCAGTTTGTCACATCTTGCGTAATTTGCAACAGTGTATTAGCCGTATCTTGACGTCGGAGAGGGCGTCGGGAGCCGATGAGCAGCTGGCGGTCGACATTCACAAGTGGAGCCAGGCGGTGTATGTACAGCTGGATCTTTTCTCGTCGTTTGCACAACTGGCGTGTGAAAGTCGGCATCCCGACGCGGAAGCGCTCGTTTCGGAGATGCTCATGCCCTACTTGCGGCTTTTTGCTCATTGCATCCGTCTCAACAAACTGCCTAGCCAGCTGCCTGAGGAGTATCAGCTGCTTCTCCTGGATGCGTTGTGTATCTTGGGAACGCCAGATACCGCAGGCAAGGTCGAGCTGCAGCAGCAGCAACAAGAGGAAGCATTGAGGGGGGCTGCTGCGCTTATGCTGCCTGACACAAATGCGGATCTCTTGTCTCTGCCTCCTACTCCGGATGCAACAACGCCTTCTGGTGCTGCTTCAGCTCTTGCCGTGTCACCAGCAGCTCTGGCAACGCCGCATGCGTAAATTTCTCAGGTGCTTCTGTTGTGCACCGTGTGCAGCAGCAGCAGCAGCCTCAGCCCACAGCCCTCTTGCCCGTGGTTTTTCGAAGCTTGCTGCTGCTGGTGTAGCTAGCGTTTTGTTTGTGGATGCTGCCGCTGTCGAGAGGAGGTTTGTCGATGGATGCTGCCGCTGTCGAGAGGAGGTTTGTCGATGGATGCTGCCGCTGCTGAAATGGCAGAGAGGGCGCGTCTGATGCTCACGAAAGTCTCCGTGGAGGCGGTGCTGTGTCTCTCCGGCGGGTGTAGTCTTGCTGCCGCACGTGTCTTGCTGCTGCTGCTGCACGCAAACGCAGCATTTCCGGAGTCGCTGCAAGAACAGCAGCGCTGGCAGTCAGAAGGCCAGGGGGCATGTATACATATATATATACATATATGTATACATATATATATACATATATGCAGTAGCGCAGGCTGCATGCTCCATTGCTGCCCTTTGTTATTCTAAGGCGCAAGCTTCCGCGCGTTCAGGCGGAGATTCAGGAAGTACTTTATGCTCAATCCGCTTGAGACGCTGCAACGTGTAGGGGTGTGTATGCGTATTTCTCACTATTAATAGAGTGGACGGGTTGTGCTGAAGAAAGCAGTCGAGCGCCAGCGCTTGCGTGTAGCGCATGCTGCCGCGTGAGGCGGTCGGTGCGAAGCCTTTTGCAGTACTAACTAGATGTGCATCTACTTTTAATAAGAGACGAGCAAGACGCGTGTGCGTGCCTGCCTGCCTAGTCAGTGTCTCGTGGACTACCTGCTAGAACGCTGTCTAGTGGCTCGCGGAGGAAGCCTAGGTAGGGGAGCTTACTCCTCCAGCCTAGCAAGGAATGCGTTTAGGAAGGTTTTTTCACACAGGGAGCTCAGGCTAGTCGAGTTACCACCCGCTCAAAGGCTCTGGCCAGGGGCATATGCAGCGCTTCTGATGGGGTTACACGGAAAAAGTGTGCAAAACTGCACCCTCGCGCATGAGTAATTCGTTTTTCCTTTCCCACACGGTCTATCTCTGCTGGAATGGGGAAGAGCGCGAAGGGAAGAATCTTGTTTCGAGCTATGGCGTTTCCCTGGGGCGGCTGGCGCACAGAGCAGAAGAATCCGCCGCTGAAAAGGCCGTTCGGGGTATCGACAGAATGAAATTCGCGGGAATTTTTATTCTAAGAGACAGCAGTTATCACACCCAAACTGTCCGTTTACCGGCTAAAACGCCTTTTCTGTCGGGAGCGCCGGGGTGGCATGGCGTTCATGTTTGAAACGCGCTAGCATTGCCACCCCTGGATGACTGAAGCTGTTGCAGTATTCCGCATGCTATGAACTTCATTCTAATAAGTTTTTATTGTGGAATCTTCCGTGCTATTACTGAGCTCACTTCCGCATACGTGAGTTGCGCATCAGCACATGCGGCACAGCGGGACTGTCGCCGCGAGATGGTTACGACGAGGAAAGCAGCGTTTTCAAACTGCACGAACAGCAATTTTCAGTGCTTGGGAAAGTCGGGAAGTCGGCAGGAGCCAGCGCTTGCTCGGAGGGTGCCGTGCGGCGGCAGTCTGCAACCGTCTTGTCTTCCACCCTCTCCTTCGGCCTGTAGGTGAGCCGCGCGTGTCTGCGACACCCTGTGACGGCATTATGGCCCCTCACGAAGCAGCCAAAGTGCATTTCTCGTCCTCAACAGCGCCATGCAGAGCTGCAGGCGGAGTTCCTTCCAGCTTGATGAGGAGGCTGGGAAGCCTCCGATGCCCTCTGCCCATAGGACTGCTGGGCGCTGCGTTCGAGGACCTCGTGCTGTGGCTGGAAACAGCACACATTCGCCACCTTTCCAGACTGCAAAGAGAAGAAAAGCTCGGCAAGAAGGGTGATGGGTGGTGGGCACGCTTCATTCAGGTGCGCATCGATTCAAGTGTTGCATGAGCTGTATTGCATGAGCTGTATTGCATGAGCTGTATTGCATGAGCTGTATTGCATGCGCCGTGTATGTCCGCGGCTTTCACTGGCCTGGCCTGACCAATCGCATGCAGCTGTGGCATTTTGTGTTTTGGATGACGCATGCAGCTCTCTCGGTGAGGGGAGGGGAAGGGCGGACGGCTCTCACTGGGGTTGGCGTGCGTAAAAATGCCTCTTCTAGCATGCGCATCGACCTACATGCGTGTTTATCGTGTTGCAGACATACACCCGTGCGTGCGTGTGCGTGTGTGTGTGTCTATGCGCCTGTGCGCAAGTCTTTTGCCATGCCTCCCCGTCTTTCGACTGCTGCTGTGTTGCAGTACTGCAAAGACGCGCGGCTGAAGGTTGAAGCCTCGCATTCAGAAGACACGGCGACATCTCGTTTAGCCCTTCTAAGAGGCATGACTAACCTAGCAATCAAATATCAATACGAAGACGCTCTCATGGGTATGGGCAGTGCCGGCAGCCATCGTCTCTATTTTTGTATCGTTTGCCTGAGCAACAACAGCGGGGGATGCTATTGCCGCTGTTCGTGAGTACTGCAGTACATTCCAATTTCCCCCAATGTATGTATATATGTACATGTAGATAGATGCATGATGCATTCTAGCAATCGGCGTATGACAGCGGATGGCTTGCGGAGCGCACGTGCTGGGGTGGTACACGTGTGGTGTTGAGATTTAGGGTTGGTACCGTGCGATGTGCTGCTTTTTTGCAGAAAATCGTCTTGAGGGAACTTCCGACGCAGGTGCGTCCATGAGCAGAGGGCAACCCATGCCTACTCAGCATCAGCAGCAGACGGAAGATGCGGATGCAGCTGCGATCGTGAAGCTGCTGCATGCGCCTCTAAACGAGGCGCTTGCAGCTCTCCACTTGCCGCCCCTCCTCGCCTGCGAGTCTTCCGTTGGGGAGACACTGGCGGCTCTTCAGGTGAGGCTGCTGCCGTCGCTTCGAGCATCTCTTTGCTGCCTGTGCTCTTGGTGCTGTCGCGCTGTGCCCTCATGGCGAAAACAGCAACAGGAGAAGGTTGTTACTGCGAAGGTGTTGTACTACGGAACGCTGTGTCTCTTTGCCGTAGGCTATTGCCGCTCGAACAGGAGCCGACACGGCAGTAGCTGGTGAAGACGACTGCCTTACAGAGGAGGAAGCTCGCGAATTGCTGCAGCAGCTGCCAGTATTGCTGGGGGCCCCCCAGGGGGGGCCCCCCGGCGGCAAATCGCCGTGGAGGGATTTTGAGCGTCGATTTGCGTCGGCCTTGCGGGTGCTACACGTCATGGAGTTACAGCGCACACAAGACACCATTAATGAGGCGCTAGAACGCATGCAGCTGCTCACGGCAGACCCTCGAACGGACCATAGGCTCGCCAGAGTTGGCTTTTAGTGCAGACTTCTGCAGTGTTACGCAGTGTCAGTACTGCGGCGAGTGGCGGCAGGGAGCGGTGGCTACTGCTCTGTGCTGGCGTGCATGTGCTGCTGCTGGTGCAGCAAAGGGGGGTCTCTCGGGGTAGATACGCCACTGCTGTGAACTGCGCCGGGGTAGTTTCGGATTGCACAGCGCCTTTGCCCTTCCCGAGAAGCCGCTGTCAAAGCGGGCATGCGATCCCTTGTCTCCCACGTCAGCGCTGTGAGCTTAGCTGCTAGAGACAGAGAGCTTCTTTCTCGCTGCCCTAGTGCAGTTCTTTCGCGTGGCTCGCCCTCTGCGAATTTTCGTTCCAGCAGCAAGTTTGAGTCCTCTAGGATGAACTCTTGAGTAACAGGGGAAGGGGGGAGGGGGGTGGGGTTGGGAGTGTAGGCGGGGAAGGCGTGCATGCGAGCGCCAGTCTGGCAGCCAGCAGATGCGCGCTAGAAACTAGGGTCGTGCTGTGAGAGTGGCAGCCCTCTACGGTGTCTTTTTGAGGCGGGGTAGTGTATGTACACTGTTGGAAGGAGGGCGCAAGGTTTCCAGTGCGAGAGCACCAGGCACGCACGCTTGCACGCACTCCACATGTCTGGCGGGGTGAAGGGCCGTCGTGTATGCGTATTTTTCTCGTTTCACACGTAGCCTGCGATTCGCGCGAGACGCTCTCACGCAGGGGGCTTGCGGAGAGCGAGAAAGCGTTCGTTACCAACTCCTTCGAGCCATATTCCTATCGCGACTTGAGACTCTAGAGGCACCCGCGAAATTATTCGCACAGGCAGCCAATACACCTCACTACGGGGGTCGTTCATTGGGCTGTCGCTTCTGTAACCGCCTCCGACGGCCCCTCCTGCCTGGACCCCTACCCTGACGAAACACTCCGAAGAGTGGCTCGCTAAGCCCAAAATCACGTGCAATCGAGGATTTAAACGCGCTTAAAAGAGACAAACACCCTCAGAATGCAGGGGGAAAAACCTCGAATTCGGCTTCGTCGCCGCCCGCAACAAGGGGGGGCCCTGTTGCCCGTGTGTGTCTTGCAGAGCGAGGCCCCCTTCCCACAGCGCCTCTGCGTTAGCGCTGCTGCGCGATTCGTTCTTCTGCTGTATTTTTCAGTTTATTTGTTTTTTGGGGTTATTTGGGTTTGTTGGATGTGCCACCTCAGACTCGGGAGTCGGAAAAAGCCCGCAATGGCAGACCTCGCTGCAGCCTCCGCCGCTGTCGGCGATGCAGCTGCATCTTGGCGAGCCTTCCTGCCGTCCAGAGAGGCAGTCGTGGAAGCTCTGCGGCAGTATCCCCCTCTGGACGCCAGACACCTCCCTTATGGCACGTCAGGTAGGAAAGAGGTCGTCGAGGATCCGCGTAGACAGCCATGCAGTAGACGCACGCAGTCGAGGCACCCCCTAGCGGCGAGAAACCCCGCTCACAAGAGCGTCTTCCAAGGCTCTATAGAAGTAGAAATTTAGTCTGCCTCCAGCTGCGAAAAGCGGACTGCATGCGCCGAGCAGCGTCTTCCGCTTGCATGACCGCAGGAAGTTTCCTCCAGACAAGCCGCTCAAGGCAGCGTCTGCAGCAGCAGCAGCGGGCATCAACATACGCAAACATACATATGTGTGTAGATATATGTGCATAAGAGAATATAACGACTGTATCTATCTGCACCGAAAGGGCTGTCTCGGAGAGGGCCCTTCGCAAACTCCTTCTTTCGAAGCGCTCGTCTTGTGCGCCTGCAGTGCACTTGGTTGCAGGATACGCCTCGCTTACGGCCTTTCCTTCTCTCAGCACCCTCTATTTCATGCTCTTTCCTTCTCTCTCGTCTTTTGATTGTGCCCCCTCCTTGGATGCATGCATCAGTGCCGTCCCATGCCCACATCCATGCTGGTGCAGGCGCAACACAGACGGCCTCTTCTTCTGCCGCCCCCTGTGCTGCACTGAAGGAGGAGACGTGTATCTGTCTGCCTCCGTCTGCATGCGTAGTCGATGCATGTGGGTGCCTCTTCTTTCTCACGGAGAGACTCCCGCCTCGGCTCCTAGAGGCAGCGCTCGCGAAACTGCAACACACAGCCGCCCTGTCCATACACCGCACGCCCCTGCTCATTGTGATGTCTCTTTCTGCATCCATTGCACGAAGCGACCTCCCTCTGCAGTCCTAGAGCGTTTTTTGTCTTTTGAGCGCTTCCCTGCACTTGTCTGCGTCCAGTAGCCTGCGCGCCTTGGCAGACATACTAACACCAAGGCTGCCTGTCTCGTGCTTTCTGCTCAGGCTTCCGTTCTTCCGCCGAGCGGCTTCCCGCTGCTGCACATCGCTGTGGGCTCTTTGCGGGCCTCTTTTCTCTTGCGCTTTCTCTCGCTCGCGGAGAGGCTTCTCCTCGGAGGCACTCTCCTCCCTCCGCCGGGTGCGTCGTTGGCGTCGTCGTGACAGCTAGCCACAACCCAGCTAGCGACAACGGTCTGAAGGTGACAGGACCTTCTGGAGCGCTGCTCTCGCCTTTCCTGGAGAGCCTCCTCGAGCGGCTGGTGAACGCGCACCTCGTGAGGTGCGCTCTTGAGGAGGCAAGCCAAGGAGGGAGGCGCTCAGCAGGAGAGCTTTCTGCCGATGCGGCGATCGAAGCGCATGCGGACTGCTTCTTCGCCGTTGCAGAGCAGCTCTTCGAGCACGCCAGCTGCCTCGCTGCAGACGAGGAGGCAACACTGCCTCAGGGCATGCAAGGAGAGGCATTTCCCACTTCTCCTCCTGCTGCTGCTGCGTCAGAATTTTCCGAAGAAGAGCAGGCTCAAGCTAGGTCGCGTCTGCACTCCATGGGGGCTTGCGTGCTGCAGGCGAGAGACTCTCGCGCGTCGTCTCTCGCTCTCGAAGAGGCGCTCACTGCAGGCGTGTCTCTTGTTGGCGTGCAGTCTGTGAGGCTGGGAGTGGCAGCCACTGGCCAGCTGCAGTTTCTTGTGCTGCTCTGCAACGAGGCTCTCTCGGGAGTTTCCCCCCCACGTCTACCGGAGAAACAGCATCAAGCGCTTCGCGCTGCGCTGTATGCCCTCCGATCGTGCCAGGAGAACCGCAACCAGCAGCGGCTGCAGCACCTTGGAAAACTGCTGCTAGACATGTATTTCCGCTACTTTGAGCAACACATGAGCGCTCTTGTCGACTTTCTACGCAGGGGCAACTTCCTGCAAGGTGAGACGCCGCCGCAGCTGCGAGTGCCCTGGGGTGTATATACATATATATATGTATATATGTATATGTATATATGTATATGCATATACATCCCAGAACCAGCCTTATTAGCAGGTGCAGAAAGGAAATATACGCAAGGATATCGTATCCAAATATGGCCTCCGCTCCCTCCCTCCCGGAGAACTGACTGAGAGCCTTTCGTCGTCTTTCTCTGCTGCCCTCTAGCAGACGTTCTTCCCCCCCCTCCCCTTCTACGCTGTCGCTCTGCTGGCTTCCAAGACAGCCTGCCCTTCACGCAGCAGCTTGCGAACCGCGAACGCTGCTCCGCGTTGCGATGCAGGCAGCGTGGCATCGTCTCCGGTGTATGTGGACTGCGGAAACGGAGCTGGCTCCCCTGCCTGCGGCGAGCTGCAGAAGCTCCTGCGGCTGCTTGGAGAGAAGCCTCTCTTCGCGCGCAACACAGGGCTCAACACGACAAGCAGCTCCGACACAACGAGCAGTGACTGCAGCGGCAGCCACCTGATCAACGAGAACTGCGGCGCAGAATTCGTCCAGAAAGGCGTGCGACTGCCTCAACGCTTCGGTAAGGGCTTCTGGTGTAAACTTCGGTATCGCCGTCGCTGCTGCTGCAGCCTCTATTTCTGCCCGCTGCTGCATGCTTTCTGCATCCACCTGCCAGCGTGTGGCGCTTCTGCCGCCGTCTCTTGTGGGCTGCTTGCACAGGCTTCCCGAAGGATGCCTCAGAGGGTGCTCCCTGCTGCGCCTTCGATGGGGATGCCGATCGCATTGTGTACTTTGCGTGGCAGCGACAGCAGACTCCTTCCGATGAATGCTCTTCTTCGGGGTTTTCTTCGTTAGAGGACTCTCCCGCTGTGGCGGCAGCAAACGACGAGGAAACGATGAGGGTGCAGCTGTTCGATGGGGACCGTATTGCCTGCCTCTTCGTGCTGCTGATTGCAAGTCTGCTGAAAGCTGCTGAGGAAAACAGAGTAGGAAACAGCCTGCACAAAACGACGGCGGCTCGGGTGATAGGCGCGAGGGGCGACAGCGCGGCATACTCTGTTAAGCCTTTTCGATGTTGCGACACTAAAATAGCGCATCTTGAAAGTGGAGTAGGGTAGCCTGTGTTGCTGTCTCGTTCTGCTCTCTCTCTCTCTCTATGTCTATATATATATATATCTTTTCTCTTTCTTTGCTCTCTCCTGTGTTCTCACTCTTTCTCGTTCTCCTTGCGAGTCGGCCTTAGGGAAATGGAGTAAACCGCGCACGCCCTCTCCGCTGTTATCGGGTGGATGCGAAAATATGCTTTCTTGTTGCATGCGTGTACAGCGTGTTCTGCGAGCTGCATCCGTGTCTCTGACGCGTCAAGAAAGACTGCGTGGCTTCTGCGTGTTCAGAGGGAGCAAGCAAACGATGCCCCAGCAGCTGCTCTAGAGCCTCTGCGGGTAGGCGTAGTGCAGACGGCGTATGCGAACGGTGGAAGCACCAGATTCTTGGAGAATCTCAGCAAAACTGTGCAGCAGTGGGAGTACTTGAAGATCCAGGTGCGCGTTTTTTATGGGCCTGTGTAGTACCCACCCACACCACGAGCTCACTGCAACTGTGTAGATGCCTTTCTGGAGAGAGTCTGGGAGTTTTGTCTTTCGGCATGATTTTCTTTGAAGAGACACCAGGACGCGCAGAGCGTGTGTTTCTCATCAGATAGAATTGCGCTGCGTCAAGACTGGCGTCAAGAATCTGCACCGGGAAGCCTCGCAGTTTCCACTGTCGGTGTACTTTGAGGCAAACGGCCATGGGACTGTGCTGAGTCATCCAGCAGAACTTGCGGCGTGGGGTGTAAAAGTCGGAATCTATCAGGTATAGATATGTATATATATGTTGACACATCCTTGTCGCGTTTCTTACTGGAAATAAGCAAAAAACCTTGTCTCCAAATAGAAAGAGGAGCTTCGTGACTGCCCACGCGAAAGCACCCCACGGTGTGTGTGATTTTATTTTTGAGCGCGCGAGCCTCCTGCTCAAGCTACCCACGCAGCAACACCACTGTCCATACGCCTCGACGGCAGAGCTGCGTATTTTTTTCTGCATGCATGCATGCGCATGACGCGGCCTTAAAAAAAGACGCCTTGCCTCCTGCTGCCGTCTCTCAGCACGTTTTCCAACGAGCAACCCTCCTTCTCTCTGCACACGAGTACCACGCGACCCAAGACGCCGGTGTACATACAGCCCCTTCGCTGCGTGCATGCATGCATCTCTGACAGACCGAGGCCTTCCAGTTTCTACAGCACTTTGTAGCCTTATTCAATCCAGCAACGGGAGACGCCTTGGCAGACTTGCTCGGTGTGGAGATCGCTCGAACAAGGCTCTCTCTCTCGCTCTCCCAATGGCATTTGTTGTACGACGAGTTCCCCTCAATTACCGCTAAGGTATCCCAGCACACGACGTTTCCTTTTTTGCGATCTTCTCGCAACTTCTGTAGTGTCTCTCAGTCCTCCGTCTCTCAACCTCCTCGGCACATACACTAAGCTTCGGACTGCTTTTCTCCTGCCCGCCTTCGCCCCCTTCCCAAGCGATGCCTTGCGCTGTCGCCTCGTACTACCCTGCGCATCCTTCTTAATTGTTTCGTGCCACAGCCATATGTGTATATATATTCTTTAGTAGAATGCCAAAATATCAGTACATGCCTGTATATATATATATGAATGTGAACATATATATATATACATATCTGGACTTGGAGTATAGTGACGCGTTTATGGATATGCTTGTTCCTGTATTACTTTATTCTGCATTTATGCAGGTGGTGCTGCCACGGAGCTTTCTTTCTACGCTCAAGCCCCACGAAGGACACGAGATGTGGCTTCTGGAACCAGAGGCTCTCCAGGTGCGTTGTTGTTTTGTTCGTGTTGCTGGTGCGGAGGCTACGGTACTGCTGCTTTCTTTTGCTGCCAAGCCGCTGCTGAACCCCGACAGCAGCCTCCCCCCGAGGAAAGAGGAAGAATTCATGTCCTAATTGCCAGCCAAAAAGCGGCAAAAGACGCCGTTGCGCTACTTCAAGGAGTTAGCCCGTTCTGCGGAGCAGCTGGCCGCTGCTGCTGCGCTTTGCATGCGGCCTTGTTGCGGGCAGTTTCTTGTGTCTGTACAGGCAGCGCTGTGGGATCTTGCCAACTCTACAGGGCCCTTCTGCAGGGTGTTTGTGAGGCCGTCCGGTACAGAAGACGTTGCGAGGATCTACGCCGAGGCTCCCCACAGGAGAGAGGCGCAAAAGCTCGCCGATGCTGCCGCGCAAATCGTCCTACAGTTTGCGCAGTCAGAGGTAGCAGACAGGGGAGTGCAAGTCTAGGCACGTCAAAGAAGCCTCATGCATGCAGTTAGCCTGGATCGGTGCAAAGCAGCGAGAGTCCCGAGAGCTTCCAGAGGGGCCTCGCTGCCGGAGATACGCAAACGAGCAAACACGCATGCATGCATAGATGTAGGCATACGCACACGCATATAAATACACGCGCCAACATGCAAACACACAAGAGTAAGAGAGGGAGGACGGACTCTCGCATGCGGGGAACGGGAGAAGACGGAACTGGGGGTTATACGGGTGGGCTGGTGGCGGTCTTAGAGGGGGCTGTAGCGTCGAAGCCTTTCTTATAGGGCCTCTAAATCTTCTGCTTTGCCTAATTATGTGTTTGGGGGGTTTTGTAAAAGTTCCTTCTGCGGCACCGCGCCACTAAAGCGCAGCTGGGCTTCGTCTACTATCGCCACAGCCACTACTCTGGCGATGGTCACTCCTCTTGCGCAGCTGTTCGTACGAGCAGAGCCTCTAGCTCGAGTACTTTGGCTAGCTGCATAGCTACCGTCTCCCCAAGGACGCCTTCCTTCCTACACTTTAGGCGTCCACATAACAATGCTCAGAAGCAGTGGGAAAGCCAGGGGGGAACGCAATCTGCGCACTGCATAGCGGTCCCCCCATGCGCCATGGGTCTAGGCAGCACATGCAGAGGTGGAGGCGCAGCGGCTGCACTAACAGCCGCTGCTGCATAAGCAGCAGCGGCAGGATGCCCTCCTACGCTTCGTTATGGAAACTTCCTACTTGCATCTCTGCGAACCCCCTTACCCCCTTTATTAGTGCCCAACCGCAGGTGACCCCGAGAAAACGTGAGGCCTGAGGCACTCCACACGCCCTCCTTAAGAAGGGGTGGCTGCGCTGCCTCTGGTGGTGTCTCTGCTGCTAGTGGTGCTGCGCATGACTCGATTGGCGTTTTTCGTGGCGTATCGTCGGGAGACGCGGCTTGGGGTGAGGAGGACACCGCCGCTGCACGCTGAGGAGGCACTTTTCGCGACGTCGCAGCAGGTGTAGCACCAGCTGCCGATACACCTGCGAGGTGTCTCGGCACCCCGGGAACGTTGAAATACCGCTCCCAGCAGTCGTCGCCGCTGGAATTCGGGGTGCAGTGCGCCGCTAAATTCATGTTTTCCTCGTCTTCAGCAATCAGTGCCATCAGCGAGGTACGACTGCTTCTGCCGCTGCAGCCAGAGAGTGCCATGAACTCCCCCTCAGATCGGCGTGCTGCAGGCGCAACGCCGAGCCGCAAAAAAACATGCAAGTACGCGACATGCAAGCTAAAACTGGATTTTTTTGCCACCTCTCCCCCAAATTACCCTATGGATAAAACACGCCGTATAATTCAGCAGTTCCACTTCGTGACTGCCATAAAAAACGCCCCCATGCCACCGCAGCACACCCTCCACGAGCCATCAATCCGCAGCACACCCTCCACGAGCCATCAATCCGCAGCACACCCTCCCCCTTTCTCGAGAAGCCCTGTAGAGTGTATGTACGCACAGCAGCGGAGGAACACACACACAGATATATATATATATATGGGAAGACGGAGAGAAGCGGTTGCACGCACAGGGAACAACGTACACTTCAATTCACAGGGAGCAAAGAGGGTCTTATCCGAGAGAGAAGCGGCGACATAGGCTGCTGTCGCAGCTACCGCCACAGGCTGTGCAGCGGCGGCAGGCTCAGCAGCAGCAGCGGCAGTTGCTAGGCTCTCTGCCTCCAGGTGCTGCTGCTGTTGCTCCTCTAGCAAGACGGCTTTCGCGGCAGCGGGCAGCAAAGGGTCAACTGTGGCTCCCACCCAAAGCGCTCTGAGGTCTTGCAAGGATAAGAGCGAGCTGCTGGGCAGCTCCTGCATGCAACCGGCAGCCATGACAGCGCAGCACACAATTGTGCAGCGCCAAAAACACCACGGACGAGAGGCACAGGCCATGAAAAAGGTTCAATTGATCTTTCTTCCCCTTCGTGCAAATCGCGCCTCTTCGATGTGCCCATACACCGGATGCTGAGTATCTGTCATTGTCTTCTGCTTGTCTCTACCGCTCTCTTCGTGTCTGGCTCGTTCTGCGTATGTCTATATATATATACATATATATATATATACATATATATATATACATATATATAGATATATACATATATATAGATATATGTATCCATCCATATGCGTGCCTCTTTCTGTGTCTCTGTCGCTGTGAGTGTGTATGGCCGTCCCTCTTTCTCCCTCTTTCTCTCTGTCTCTCTCTTTCTCTCTCTACATATGCATATATATATATATGTCTCTATCTCTGTGTCTGTCTGTTTCTTGCTAAAATGGCTTCCTCGAACAAGAGCTAAAGAGTCATGGACTCACACGAGCGCAGCAAGGGGAGTGAGGAGCTCTCTGTCGCAGCGGGCAGAGAGCTCCTCAGGCAGTGTCTTCCCGCGCTCGCGCCACTTACTTGCTGCAGCAGCAACTGATTGCTGCGAAGAATGTGCCTCTGCCGCCGGTTCCTACAAAGGGCAGCGGCTAGCCACGCTGTTCTCAGCAGCTTCCTTAGATTCAGCTCCCACGGCCAGACAGAAAGACGGTGGAGCTCGCTTAGAGACACCAACAGACGCTGCAAAAGTATTCCAAGCGCATCGCTCTCGCATCCCCAGCTTAGCAATCCCCCCACTCTTCGCCGCTTGCAGCCTCGTGCCAGTGGCAGCAGAAAAACTCCGCTCAAAAGCGGCAAGAAGCCACGCAAGAGAACAGGAGGCAAGCATTCGGGGGCACTTGAAAAGCTCGCAAAATACGACGCCTTCCTGCAGAGCAGGGCAGGGGACGGTGCGAAGAGTCTTACCTGATTGAATCGGATGAGTGTAGGATGAACACCTAGAGCCTTCATCTGCCAGAGCGCTTCCCACGCCTAAGAGGGCAAAGGCACAGCGTCTCGCATTGAAAGTCTCGAAGCAGTATTCGAAGCGCATCCCGCATCGACAGAAAAACAAAAGAATACATTCTGAGCGCCTCTAGCAGAGGGGTCCCTGTACCTCCAGGAGCCGTAGCAGATTGCGAATCGATCCTCACCTTTTCTATATGCGGCTCTCGCCGAATCAATGGACCATACAGCTGCAGCGTCAAAGAGACTTCATCTGGCGGGAGACGACGCGAGCTGCGTAAAGCACCGCGCAGGCATCCGTATGAAGTGGCTTTTCTGCGCGGGTGCTTTCTTGGAGGCTTGGGGGAGGAAGGGGGAAAGAGACTTGGATTTGCTGTAAGGAAGAAGCGAAAAGAGGCTGCCAGACGTGGTGCTGCTCAGTCTCTATCAAAAAACAGATACGGCAAAAAATAACGGCAGCAAACGCTGTGAAGCAGGCGCACAGGTAGTCTTCTACTAGCTCCTCGAAGTGCTTTGGCTTATGAGCTCTGAGGCTTCTCCACATTTGTTTCACAAGTCTTCCCTTCAGCTGCTGCACGTCGGCGTCATGCTGCAGCAGCGGCTGCTGCTGCGCCTGCTGCTGCAATGCAGCATCTTTCGGAGCACGCTGCAATGCAGCATCTGCCTGCTGCTGGTGGCTACGGCAAGACAGTGAGCGCTGCGCTGGACTCTGCCCTTTTTTCGCACGAGAGTTGGCGGCTCCAGCCACGGCAGCAGGCTGCTGCTGCTGATGCTGCTGCTGCTGCTGCCGTTTTACTGCAAGGAGGGCTTGCTGTTGCTGCTGCTGCTGCAGCACAAGGGCTGCCTTCAGCTGCTCCCATGGTCGAGCGCTTGCATAGCTGCGCGGGATTCCTGCTGCGGCAGGAGGCGCAGCACGATCCGCAGCAGCGTTTTCTGGTGTCTGGATACCCACGGCATCGACAGCGGCTGCTCGCTCTGTTGCGCCACGGCGATCGCTGTTGCTGCGGCTGTCTTTCGCCAGTTGCTGCAGCAGCTTCTGATACGGAGATCTGTGGGGAGAGGACACGCCAACGGAAGAACGGATATCCGACGCCTTCAAGTGCTGCTGCACTTTGCTGCTGCCGCCTTTGCCACAGCTGAGCCCGCGGATCTGTGCGCTGGTAGCACAAACTGCATGTGGAGCACTTTCCTTTGCAGCTGCTGCTCCCGAAGGCAGCACCCACGGGCTCACCAGACGTCGCATCATTCGCATTCTGCTCGAAATCCTGCAGCAGCTGCTGCAGCAGCTATTGCAGCAGCTGCTGCAGCAGCTGTAGGCAACCCGTAGAGGGGGGTAGCCGCTGCTGCTGGCTGCTGTCGTGGGAGCCCCTGATTTACGGTCTCTTTAAGAAACACAAATGAATCATAAATGCACAAATAAATCGTGGAGGAGCATCAACTAGCCAGTATCCCCTACTGAGGGGAAGTCGAAGAGGAACCCGCCCTAGGGAGGGGGGCCCCCACCCAAGGGGCCCCCCAGCCCATGTCGGATTCCCCTGAGAAAAATACCTCCACCAGAACCCCTCTACTTGTGAATTTCTCCCCTATCCACATATCTATATTTATATATATATCTATGTCTTTCAAAGAGGCCCCCTACCGGCGAGATCTCCCCTAACTTAGAGGCCCCTCGGTGAAACACCACTTGACTGAGCGCAGAAACCCCCAATAAACCCCTCATTGTGGCTCCCTCAACCTGTTACTTCTAGTGTATCCCTAGCGTGAGTGTGTGCCTCGCTGGAAGGACGGGAAAGGCACGATTTCCCGCAGCACAGCACCTCCCGAAGGCTTTGCGCCTGCCACTGGCGACTTTTCCCCTCGAAGTGCCTTTTATGAACCGAAAGCGGGTGAATCGGGGGGGAAAGCCTCTCAAGGAGGCATCCCATCAATAGTCAGTCAAATTTTCTACGGAGGCTGAACACGCATTGAGACCTTCTTCGATCAGTAATCTCACGTTTGGGCGCATGCTACACCCAATCTGCGCACTAGGAACCCATCGTTTCAAAGAAAGAAACCGGGGCCTTCTCTGGTGTTCATACATACCTACACGCAGCGAGCAGTAAAGCATACCCACGGCTTTCTTCTGCAGGGAGATTGAGCCTCAGAAAACTAAAAGAGACACTCAACACAGGGGGGTTTATGGGGTCTGTGTTAAGGCGCACTCCGCTTGGCCCCCCTGAGGCACCTCCCGTCCACACTCGTTAGGTTCCATCAAGAAGCAGTGGGGATTCCAGTGTTTGGTGCGCACGTTTTTGCACATCTTGCTGCACATTACAACTCGCCCAAAAAGACAAGAGTCTACGCTGCCTGCACCTGGCGAAGAGGGCATAAGTGTAGCTACCCATGAATGCGCCGCGCGGCTTCAAGAGTCACCAAAAACGTCCACAACGCTCTGCCCTCTCCGTTCCCCCGCATGCCCGTATCACGTTACGTGAGGACTGCATCAAGGGCAGGAAGAAGAGATCTGCTTCGTATTAAGGCTCTAGAAGGACTCCTCTCTCGAGCATGTAACCCTAACAAAAGCCTAGATGGCTAAAAGGGTGCCCCTCCTTGCCCACCTTCCTTCCTCCAACCTTTACCGCACGCGCACAAAACTCCCACTGTGCACCCTATAGCGAAAGCTGTAGAACGTGTCCGCTCCCCTCGACTGACTCCAACGCACTGCCCCCCCACCGTAAACACCTTCTCGATGCGCTTTTAGCCAACCTAAGCAACTGAAAAGCTCCTCTTCGCTATACGCCCCATACATATACATATATATCTATCTATCTACACCCGGCTAACGGCCAGCTAGCTGTCAACGCGACTCCCAAGGCCAGCGCCACGACTTCAGAGGAACGGAAGAAGGGACTGCCTTGCCGCAGAGCGACATCCCCGCCACGGGAAGCCTTCCTTCCCAACCCTGTCTCTGTCATCTCAGCACCTCCCACAAACGACGCCCGCGCATGCGTGGGGTGTACACGCAGCACTCGGGCTGCGTCGTGGATACATGTGCGTACATGATATATGCATATAAAATATATGCATTCATACGTACAGGCGGCACATAGAGAGGTGAGGTCATGTGGCACAGACCTTTTTTTTGGGAGGCCTTGGACTAGAACTAACCTACTGCTGTCGCTGCTATTTTAGAAACTTCGTCACAACAACAACACTGCAGCAGCAGCAGGCGAGCTCTCCTCTAGCGCACGTGCCTGCAGCAATTGGGCAGACACGTGCCGAGAGGTCTCTCTCTTTTGTTTAGTCAAACAGGGAGAATCCCATGTCTGCGTCTTCTTCCTCTTCCTCCTCTTCTTCTTTGGCGGCGGGAGCGGCAGCGGCGCCTTCGGTGGCAGTGCCAGCGGCAGGGGTGGCTGCAGCGGCGAACGCTTCGGGGTTGTCGATCATTTGCTTGATCTGCTGCATCTCGGGGAACACGAAGTCAGTATCCAGGCAGAGCGCAGCGCAGTATTTGAACCCTTCGATGATGGAGTGTGGCGCCGAGGCGGCCGTCGGCAAGGCCAGCTCGCGTGAGAACGCAGCCAGCGACGACACACCAGAACGGAAAGCGGTGAGAATTGTTTCATCCGTAATGTCGAGAACGGAGGCAGAGTATACGGATCCTGCGCAGCGCACCAGCAGCACACAGACGTCCACACGCCAGGAGGCATGAAAAGGGAGCGCTGGAGAAGCAGGCTTTTAAAAGGTATATGATGAATGAAGATCGTCAACATATTTTTTGGCATAAAGATAATCGCGAAAAAAAACGGAGGAAGCATTTCTTAACGCTTGGCACGAAATATTTGGCAGTAAAAAGGGGGCCCACGAAAAAGTGGGCTGGGCGGAAAAAGTTACAAGACAAGAGACAGTCAGATGCCAGCGATTCAGAAGAATGGAAAAGACGTCCAGTGAGCTCTTGAAAGAAAGGAGCAAAGGGGTCACGTAGAGGGGGAAAACCCGTGCGGCAAAAGAGAGGAGAGAGACACAAAAAAGGGGTATACACAAGGCGGGATGCGTGGCTGCATGTGGGCGAGCATGCAGAAGCGTGCAGCAGCAGCAGATCAGCCGCATGAAATTTGACAACAGCACAAGAAACGCTTAAGGTAATCAGCACAGCTGCTTTTGCCCCGTGCCCTCTCGCCCTCCTGTGTGAGCGTTGGCTTTTTGCCGGCTCCCTTCTGTACAGACACCCCGTGTATAGGGCCTCATTGCAAGAAGGCACTCTCTCTTTCTCTCTCTCTCTCTCTCTCTCTCTCTCTCTCTCTCTCTCTCTCTCTCTCTCTCTCTTATATATATATACATATATATATGTATATATATATATATTTTGCGCACCATTGTCATAGATGTGCTCCACTTTGAGACCATATTCGAAGGGCTTGATGTTGAGCTTGTGAAGCAGTGTAGCGGCACTGGCGGACACCTTGTCGCCTTGCTTGATCAGATGCACTTGATTCTGAATTTCGATTTGGCCCTTTACGATTTTGGTGCTGATGCCAAGAGCTTGGAAGAAAGAAGTGCTTCCAGGATCCATACCAGTAGGCCCTGCAGGGATGAAGACGTCTACGGGAGCGAAGACGCCTTGTCTGGCGGGAGCAGGCACCTTGTGCTCGCCGATGATGTCTCTAACCTCTGCTGGTTCTACGCCGCAGAAGACGAAGCCGATGTTCAGCTTGATCAGCGGCAGCAAGGCAGCCAGCTGAGGCATCTCGCCGAGCTTGGTCCTTAGCGCCGTTCGAATCATCGTGTTCTTTCCCATGAGCACTTGCGCCTTCCCCCTCAGCGCAACACGTATCCCCGCCATCTGCTTCGATCCCACGTGATCAGCAGAAACGATCAACAGGCGCGGATACTCCGAAAGCAGCTTAAACAGCCGCGAGAAGTACCCCCTGCGGTTTGCGGCACGCTCAGCTTTCCCCATCGTGCTTACACAAAAAGAGACGAACCGACACACAACCCAAGCGAAAAGGAGATCCTCGAGAAACGCAAAGTACAGACGTAATAGGATTCACGGGCCCTATGTACAGCCAACCACTGCTATAGACCAAAATGCAAGAGAGGGAGACTTGTGGAGACTGACAGAGCGACGAGGCCTGCCAATCAATTTAACCTGCAAACAACACACAAAAACATTCACAGAACACACGAACGACATTTATCACATACACACATAGAACATGTATATATTTATACCCATAAACATGTAGACAAGCACCAAGGGAAACTCCCTTTTTGGAAGCGATGGAACCGTGCATTTGGAATGAAAAAACGCTTATGCCCCTGCCTGCTCCCACCAAAGCGCACATGCACAGAGCGAAACCGACAAAACAAGACAGGCTAAAGTACACACGCCCCCACTTTACGCCGTCGCGTAAGGAAGGTTTCAGTATTTAGAGAGAAAGAAAGAGAGAGAAAGAACGCTCCCTCTCTTTGTCTGTCTGTCCGGTAGTACTCTCGCAACATCAGAAGGGGCAGGCAGCCGCATGTGGCGGGGAATACAATCGACCCCAAAGAGAGCATACGCAGACACACACAACCCACAAGATCGTCAAAAGAACAAAGATGCAACAGCCGTAAAATTGAGGCGCTGGCACCAGCCTCCTGCCCTCCTCGTGCTGCTACCACAGACGCGACAGTGAGGGGAAGGAAAAGAGGACCCAGTCAGCTCCTCTAGTCACCGCAGCCGCTGCTGCCAAGTCGTGATCTGGCACCACATATGACGTGATTTCCTATTTAAATCCAGCGAGGCAGCTGCAAGAGGAGGATGACTGTCTACTGGTCAGGGAACGAAAAAACTGTGACGCGTGAGAAGTAGAAACAAGAGCCGGAACGACAGCCCAGAGGCTTCGCAGCGGCAGCAGCTGCTCGACTCACCACAAGTCCAAGGATATCTCCGGTAATTACACCAGAAAAAAGGCAAAAGGCTTTTATGGAGTGGCGAGAGAGGAGCAGCAAGGAGCTCCTCGGCAGCAACGCTGCCGCACGGCCTCCCCACAGAGGGGCAGCCGCTGCAGCAGCCGCAGCAGCAGCAGCAGCAGCCGCAGCCGCTGCTGCTGCTCCCGTTCGGCGTTGCGTGGTAGCCTGTGGAGCTGCATGCATGCGCCTGGAGAACTGTTTCTAAGCGGCTCGAATGCATGTTCGCTCCGACTGACGGCATTGCTCATCTCTAGCGCAGGAAGAGCTGCAAGCTTTGCCTCTATTGAAAGGCAGCAGCAGCAGCAGCTCTCCCGCCACAGACTGGACGGAGGCAACGCCTCTCTTCCGTTTGTGCTGCTGCGTATTTTTAGCCGCGTTGTTTTGCCCTCCTGCTGCTGCGTGTGAGGCAAAAGGCGGGGAAGCGGAGGAGGAGGAGAGGCTACAGCCACCTCTGCGGCAGCAAGCACAGCTGCACTGCTGCAGCTCTACTTGATTTGTGCATTGTCGCTCGAAGGTAAAGGCGCACTCCCATCATCATGGGGCCCTCCCCTGCGACAACCGCGCCGTCCGCCTCGGGGATGCCGAGCAGCAGCAGCAGCAGCAGCAGTCGTGGCAGCAGCAACAGCAGTAGCAGCAGCAGTAAGCCGCGCGCAAAGCGTTCCTGGGATCCACTGGATTACGAAGGCCCCATCAGATCTTTGCCGCAGCTTTGTCAGGTGTCGGTACGCCGCACGAGGGAGTTATTTGCCGCAAACGAGGGTTTGAGAGCTCCCCCGTTTGCTGCCGCCGTAGAGTTGGCGCTTCGGCTCAAGATTGGCGACGAATACACGTTTACAAACAAGCGTATTGCAGCGGCAGCGGCACAGCCTGTTCCCGAGAAGGCTTCTGGGACTGAGTGCCAGCCAATGCTGCAGCAGGGAGAGAAGAGACAAGCGATTGAAGACAGCTCTGAAGCATCAGCATCATCAGCAACAGCAGCAGCAACAACAGCGGCGGCGGGGGGGGAGGGGCCTCCTCCTCCTGGTGCGCAGCTGCCACTCGGCGCTTCCTTGTCGGAAATGATTCACGCACTTTCACCGTTAGCGGGGAGCACAGCCGTGCCGCTAGGGGCAGCTGCGGGAGGGGTGTCGGAAGGCGGATCGAGCAAAGCCGCTGCCACTGGAGGAGGAGGAGGAGCTGCAGCGGCAGTCGTTCCTTTAGGTCTGTCTAGCGGAGAGCTCGTCGGATTGCGGCTTCGCCAGGTGTTAGAACCGCTGAAGCCGCAGTGGCACGCTCCGTGGAAGCTGCAAAGAGTCATTAGCGGACACCTGGGGTGGGTAAACTGCGTGTCAGTCGATCCGACAAACAACTTCTTCGCTACGGGCAGCAACGATCGCCTCCTAAAGATATGGGATCTAGCGACGGGACAGCTCAAGCTGTCGCTCACGGGTATGACTAGCGAGTGCTCATAGCTGCACGGAGGCGCAGGCAACGGCCTTTAGACGCTCCTCCGGCTGCCCCCTTACATCATGCTCGCTCTCTCTCTATTCTCTAGATTTACATTTGTAGAGCCACTGGCCTTCTCTTGAGGGGTGGCAGCCTCCCGCTGGAGTGCTGCATTCGTATGGTGCGTGTGTGCATGTGTGGTGGTGGTGTTACGTGCAACGGCGTGCGCGGTTGTGCATGTGTGTCTTTGGATGTTTTGTGCGTGTAAATGAGTGTGCATGTATCAACAGTATACTTTCGCATGCGAATGGTATTTTGCAGGTCACGTCTCCTCCTTGCGAGATATCCAAATATCGGACCGCCACCCCTACCTGTTCAGCTGTGGAGAGGATGGTCGAGTCAAATGCTGGGACCTGGAGCAGAACCGCGTTGTCAGAGATTATCATGGGCATCTTTCTGGTAGGCAGACGCGCTCTTGCAGATGCCCCTGCTGCATGAACGTGCGCAGCGGATCTTGGTCGTGCTTTCTTCCGACAAGGTGTAGTGACACCCGAGGCCGCTACGCACCACGGGCATCGGCTGCCGCCTCCCCTGCCGTGCTTTCGCGTTTCGCGAGTCATTTATTCATCTCGATTTATATATTTTTAATCCCCATGTGCACATATACACATATTATGCGCTGTGGCATATAGAGTAGAAGAGAGGCCCTTGCAACTTGAGGTGTAGTAGGATGGACGTGCAGGGTGTTGCCATTTGAAATTCCCGTAGATATCTCGTTTCTGCAACGCTTTGCTCGAAGGAAGGCCTTCCATGCCGCTCTGGAGCTTTATATGCCTTCATTTTTTGCAGGCGTCTACACGTTGGCACTGCACCCCTCCTTGGATATCCTGTGTTCTGGAGGCCGTGATGCGGTGGTTCGCGTGTGGGATATGAGGACAAAACAGAGCATCTACACGCTTGCTGGACATACCGGAACGATTATGAAGGTGCAGATGCAGACGCTCATGCCGCACATCGTCTCTGGATCTCAAGATAAAATGGTGAGCGATTTTTCTGCTCGCAACTTGGGGCCTAATAAAACTCGCCTTCGAATGGCGGCGTAGAAAATGCACGGCGGCTGGCGTCCCTAGTGGTGTATAGAGGTACATTCATACGCACATAAGTACATGCGTACATGAATACATGCGTACATAAATACATGCGTACATAAATACATGTGTACATAAATACATGTGTACATATATACATACGTACATAAATACATGTGTACATAAATACATGTGTGCATATATACATACGTACATATGTACATACGTACATAAATACATGCGTACATCAATACATACGTACATAAGTACATGCGTACATATATACATACGTACATATATACGTACATACAGATTTACATACAGTCGTACATACGCACGCGTGTTCGCTCATAAAATACCATCATTTTACATGCATCCAACACACGGCCACCCATCCATATACGCACATACTCCATTTTACGTTCCTGCATACACCGCACTTCCCCGTACACCCATTGATTTATTAAAACAGACGATTATGTGCACACATGCACTTATACATGCATTAATACGCACTATCCCATACATGCATGAAATTCATTTATGCAGACGCCTGTATACAAACATGAATGCCTACCTAGCTACATGCATTCCTACCCCCCTTCCCATACACACATCCATGCACACTTGCATGCAAGTGTGCATGGATGTGTGTATGGGGCAAGCATCGATGGATGTATATCCATGGGGGCTGCGGAAACCGCTTTTTTTTCTCATGATGAAGCTTGCTTGCTGGTTGTACACAGGAAGCGTCGAGCGACAGTCCAGACATACGGACAGGCGCATGTGCACCTACCCTGTGTCTATACTCTAAGGGCTTTTCCCGTGCCTTGTGCTGCCTTTTTTTCTTGATTCAGGTCCGATTGTGGGACCTCTCTGCCGGCAAGTGCCAAGCAACGCTCACGAATCACAAGAAGAGCGTTCGATCATTAGCCATCCACCCGACGGAGTACTCGTTCGTAACTTGCGGGGCTGATAGGGTGAAGGTGCGTTGAAAGGGGATAAAAAGGGTGAGGGGGTCGAGGTGTTTTGAACACCCTGCGGTGGTCTTCTTTCGAGCGAAAAGCTTCCCGTTGGTGGCTTTTGTCTCTTCTCCTCATGGCGTGTGTTGTCGCCCCTGCTTGTCCTACGAGGGCAGCAGCGGCTCTCTCTCTGTCTCTCTCTGTCTCTCTCTGTCTCTCTCTGTCTCTTTCTCTTTCTCTTTCTCTCTCTCTGTCTCTCTCTCTCTCTCTCTGTCTCTCTCTGTCTCTCTCTGTCTCTCTCTCTCTGCCGCTGGTGACTTTACACTTCTTGTAGCCTTCTTTCTGGGGTTTATCGGAGGAGGTAGAGGGGCGTTTTAGGAGGCCTTTTAGCCTTCGGATACTTGGACGAGCGCTGCTGCGCATGCGCAGACATAGCCATGTCTAGGGGGGTTAGTGCAGATCACACGGCAGGAGGCCCCCTCAGCTGCGCTTGACGCAGCACGATCCCTACTCCAGGGATATTTACTCCTTTCACCATGCCGCCTGTTGAATGGTTCGTAATGTGAAGTGGGGTGGGGTGGGGTGTCGCAGGTGTGGAGGAGCCCCTTGGGGGTATTCGAGAGAAACGTGGAGGGCCTTAACGCGATCCCCAATTGTTGCGCCATCCGGAGCGAAGGCGACAAATCCTCTCTTGTAGTTGGCAGTAACAATGGGTAAGCGGAAAAGTTCTTTGGAATGCGCCTTTTAGCAGCCGCAGGTGTTACGGGAACGTGTGCCTGCATGTCTGCGGCTAATGAGCGTTTGTTGGCACTGCGGCTTTTCTCCGTTTTCTGTGGGGCCTGGTGCCCACTTTTTCCGCGCGCAGACAGCTGCACTTCTGGGATTGGAAGTCAGGCTACAAATATCAAACACTCCAGTCTCGGGTGCAACCGGGGTCGCTGGAAAGCGAGAATGGCATCTTCTGCTGCACCTTCGATCGGTCCGAAACGCGGCTTATCACGGGCGAATGCGACAAGACCATCAAGGTAAGGTATTGCATACCTGGCGATCTCCTCAGCTGGACACGAATTATACAGAGAGGGCTTGAAGAGGCACAGTCACACCGGGCCGGCAGATGGATGCATGCAAAGGCAGAAAGAGACGCTAGAGGAGCTTCCGAGTACCACTAACTGTTTAGGGGGCACAAAATGCGGGGAAACGACGACTCAACTACAAAACTTTTCCATTGGGACTCCTTGACAGGGCCCTAGATGAACCGCCACGAGAAACAGACATCTAGTGCAACGCCTCTTTTATTGGCTGCTAACGCATGCATCTTATACGCGTGTATGCATGCATGTGCATACATATATATATGGCAGTTCCACGTATGTATTTGTATGTGCACGTCTATTACATGAACTGCATATTCCACTCGATATTACAGCTCCAGGTTGGTGCATCTCGTGCAAGAAAATCTCAGCATCGACGTCTACGTATCTACGTACATGTATACACATATATATATACATATATATATATATACATATTTGTACACATGCAGGACAACATAAGCACTTGCATTTAGTGGTCTATCGTGTGCGATGTTTTGCTGCGAGGCAGACGCGGTGTCGTCTGTGCGTGATACCGAGGCCAGCTTGCCCTAGGGTATGTGTGAATACACATATTATAGGTATATATGGTGTTGCGTGTGCTGCGTGTTTCTCTAGATTTGGAAGATGGATGAAGACGCAACCGAAGAGACACACCCCATTAGCTGGAGACATGGGAGGGATGCCCGCAAGGCTCTTGCCTTTTGATCGTTTGTGCGCCTCTTCCCTAGACCCCGTAACTTGTGCGGAGAACGTAGGCAGCGATATTGTGTTGTGGACGTGCTGCCTGTGTCGCTCTCCCCAAGCATAGTCGCTTCTCAGTCCATGTAGCGAGGTCTAAGGCTGCCTGCCATCCCCCCTAGACGCACGAACTACGCAAAAGTTGCATCGAACTCAGGCTCGCATCTTCACCGCTCTGGAGGCGCCAGCGTGATAAATAGCTCCGGGAGGAGGTGCCGCTTTTTTGGCAGCTCAGCATTCTCGATAGAATGCGAGCAGAAGACTCAAAGCGTCCTACACTCTGCGACCGGCTCTTTCACGTCTGGTGTAGTGTCTGTTTGTCGTGGAGTCGGGGGGTTGTGGTGAGGGCGCACTGCAGGAAAAAGCAAGGCTTCTTCCACCCTCCCTCCCTCTCCCTCTCCCCTCCCAACGGTGCGAGACACAGTCAGCTGCTCGCACTGGTGAAAAACCACGGCTTAGACAGTCGCCACCGATGCGAAAGGCGTCAGGGGCCTCTAGCGGAAAGTTTGACCCCACGGACTAGGTGGAAGCGTCTGAATTTTACTTTTTGTACTGACGCATGCAAGGACCTGCACAGAACTACTACGCGCTCCGTCTTTGTCAACGAAAATTCGTGGCCTATTTGCATCTGCTTAGCTGCCATCAACAGCACTGGCTAAATCACATACACGTATAAGCACCCTGGTGCAAAAACTCCTCAGTGGCTTGTACCGCAGGCCGCATTCTTGCAACGTATCTGCATGCATGCAGGCTTTTGAATCCTTTATCTGCGTGTCTCGAAAGTGCCCTCCCGCCCCTCCTACTCATTCGCTTGCAGTGTCTGTACTTCTTGATGATACTGAGCCGCGACGCAGTGTGGACAGCAGTCAGCTCGAGCACTCCCTCAACCGCCCGTCCCTTCTCCCCTACTGCTCGCCGTAATTTTGCTGCTGCCAGTCGGCAGAAGGAAAGCAACGGCGAGCGGCGAGCAAGGCGCGAGGCTTTCGAGGCCGTTGGAAATAAACGAAAAGACACTTCTTCTCGCCCCGTGTGCACAGTTGCTGCAGACGCAGTGTTGCAGACGCAGTCTTGACTTCTACAGAAAGCTGCTACTAAGACAGCGATTGCAACAGCTGTCCCCGCAGACCGCTGTACGTACACCCGTGCCGAAGGCAGACTAAGTGAAGGTCGCTCTATCAGCCTCTACGCTGCAGGGGCGAGTCGAGGGAGCAGCTCCTTCCGCTGCCTCCTCGACTTGCTCTTCTGGATGGTGCCATCATGTTTCCTTCGTGAGAGCCCCTTACGCGCCTCCCTCAGCAGTCCTAGAGACTCCGTTACACACTGCGGCATTTCCACAGATCAACAGATAGATAGCGGTTTACGGCTTGCCACACGCCTTCCCCCGGGAAGAGAGGAAGTGTGAACGGGCTGAGCTGCTGCAGAGGAGACCTTTCCTGAGCCTTCGCGCGGTCGAGTTGAAGAAAGCAGCGGCACACCCGGGAGAGACACTGATGAAAGAAGACGGCAGAGAGGCGCAAACGCCCATGAATAGATGTCTGTGTGTTCTCACTGGCAGATCGCACAAAACTGCCGAACTCAGCCCTTACTGCACGCGCTGCCTGCCAGCCTCGATAGCCTTCGTCACGTTTGCCTTCAGAGGCAGCAAAATCTTCTGCTCTGCCGCCGTAACTGCAGCAGTCAGGTACTCATCGTAGTGCGCAAGGGCGAAAGAGACGATTTGGGGGGGGAGAGACAACGCTGGAATGGCAAGGGCTGAGGCTGCTGCGAGCTTCAGCAGCAGTGCCAGACCGGCAGGCAGCAGGTGCAGCACTGTAGACACCGGGAAGCATTGCAAGAGCTGTTGCAGGCAGCACAACACCAAGAAGTACTCCAACAGCCGACGGGCTGCTGCTGCACCAGCGGCATCCCTACCCTTGGTGGACAGCAGGTGCACAGACACCACCGTTGGAACCACCAGAGACACGAACAGCACCAGAAACTGTAATATGCACGTTGCTACCGTCATCTTCCTTCACGCAGAAAGCGCATGCCGCAGCCCTTGTGGCGGCAACAGCAACAGGCTTGCCTGCTACAGCGAACTGATGAATGAGAGTGTTTGGAGGATTATTGTCCTCCGCTGCCTTCTCGGAAAAACAGGCAAACACACAAAGGAGTGCCCCCTCGAACGGGGTGTACTTAGAGCGGGGAGTACACACAGGCACGGACGGCTGCGGAGAGGGGGTAGCGACAGCAGCAGCACCACACACAGTGCAGCTTGACCGAAGCAAAAGCGTTACTAGCTTGATAATAAAGAAAAGAAAGGAAGAATGCGTGGCTTTTGCGCGATCGAGTGCCACTGAACGGACGGGCAGTGCAAGAGCCGCAGCAGCTGCAGCACCGGCACAAGCAGCAGCAGTAGAGTGGCAGCATGCAGACTGGATCGTTTCATGCTGCGGCGTGCTCGGTGTCTCACCCTCCCCTCGGGAAAGAACGACTGTCTGTCTTTGTCTTGGCATTTTTAGAGGCTAGAAGGGGTCCTATGTGCTGAATTAACTGTCGCGCTAGTACGGCAGCGCCCGTGCAGCTGGAGGGTGAACGAATGGACACGTAGATCCCGAGGGGATGAAATAACGAGGGATATTGCTAAATGGCATGCCTTACATCTTGAACCTCTGAGGTGTTGTACAGACACGTCAATGTCTGTGCTGCTGCTAGTGCTGGGAACTTCCTCCATGAGTGCCGCGCACGTACAGTGCGTGTGGATTCGGCTCTGAAGGGAGCATCAACCGTAACACCAGGAGCTGTCTCGCCTCCCTTCGTCGCAGGTGTATCAGCAGGAGAGTCTCATGCAGCTCTATGGCGAGAGGCAGCACTGGGCACGCCTCTAGCAATTGCAGCAGCAGCAGCCGTGGTGAAGTACAGCAGAATGCAGGGCAAGAAAAGCCTGTTGTTTGTAGCAGCCGCTGTGGCCGTGCTGGTGGTTTTCCCTTGCAAGGTGGTCGCTGCGAACGAGGAAATCTTATCGTCGCGGTTTGAGAGTGCTGCAGACGAGGCTGCGGCAGTTGCGCAGCTTAAGGCACAGCAGGAGGCGCAGCAGAAGCCGCAGCAACTGCAGCTGCAGCGAGACGTCGAGTTTGCTCTGCACAAGGGATGGTGGAAGCTTGCGCAGGAAATTATCCTCGAGTCGCATGCAGTTGGTACGCTAGGCCTGCTCCTTGTTAGCCATACATTTCCTAGGCAGGCAGTGTTTGGGGATGTTGCTTTTGGTCGAGAGTGGCTGTAGTGCCTGCTGTACGGGGGAGTTGCCTGTGCATCTGTGTGACCATCTCAGGTGTGGATGTTGGCTCAAGCGTGCGTCGCGTGGTCATGGAAATCCGCAACCATCTACTAGAGGTCGAGAGGCTGCTGAGCAAGCAACACGATGCCATAGCCGTGTATGTTTGTCCTCTCTACCTGCAGCAGAAGAGCCGGCACAGCCTGCTGCAGCGTGTTTCCGCGTGTTAGCGTTAGCTTCTCTGCTGAGAAAAGCTTCAAGGGGTGGCTCAGTAAATCCAAGGTCTGCAGTGCGTGGAGTGCTCTGTTGCAGGATGTCGCCTGCGTTTCAATGGGCCGAGTCGCCTTTGGATATTTTCTTGAACATAAAATTCGCTTACCGCTGGAGCAGTCCAGGTGTGCAGATAGCAGCTGCAGCTGCTGTGGCTACTCGCGTTGTTGAGGTGAAGGGGCAGCGTCAACTCCGAAATCAAGGGGAGAGTGCTGTCTCGCCTCGTAGAAGCAGTTTCCTGAGCGGTTTTCCCCACAAGACGCTGTCACACTTCGGCGTTTCGGTCCTTTCAGCTGCTGCTGCTGTTGTTGCTACTACTGGCGGTGTGTTTGCAGGAGCTTTATCGCTCGAAGAAAGCTCCTTCTCAAGTGATGCGCAATCGTTCACCTTCAGCGGCCTTGCGCAGCACTCGGGAGTAAAGCGACAGTATCGCCTGGAGTTGTCGCTATTCAAGCAGATCGTTCCTGAGGTGAGGCTGTGCTTGCCTTTTTTGCTTGCGCGCGCAGCAGTGCAAAAAAGCTTCAAGAAGCAGGCAGTTTTGCCGATATATAAATATATATATATATATTTATAGAGAGACTGCGGAGGCGATGGGTGCTTTAGCCGCTGCCAACTGCACAGGCCTTGTGTGCAAGGCTGTGCATGCGAGGCGTGTCGCTCACAATTCAACTGGTGTCTCTAGCGCTGCACAGTATGCGGTGTCTTTTGTCTGAATCCTCTGTAAAGCGGGGTGCCCGTCGTGTGTGTTTCTGTCGTATCATCCGACACTCTTCGAGGGTTGTTCACTATACCCTTGTGGAGGAGAGGTACACACTCATTGATCTCTGCATGCACCTATGCGACTGTCCTCATGCTGTGAATCGTTTGCTGTTTCTGGCTCCGCTGCTTCCTCAGAAGACGAAGTGGAATTTCGCATCCGTGGGAAAAGTCGTGTAGGGCTGTCTGAGGCTGCAGCACGGCTGCTGCTTTGTGTGCTGTTGCTAGCAGCCATGCTGCTGCGGCTGGACGGTTTGCTGCTGTGACTCTCCTTTCTGCATTCGCTGCGCCTTCGTCAAAGGCTGCCTGCCACTGCGTGTTTCTTCAGTGTCTCCCTGAGGAAGAAGGAATTCGGCGTGTGGGGGCGCCTAACTGCAGACACCGTGAGGAAATCCCTGCCGCCCTTTGTTGCTGCCATGGCAGTCTCTTCTGCGGTGTATAAACACCGCTATCCGTGCACTTCTCTTACTTCTGCTGGTGCCTGCAGGCGAAGATCGCCAACATGAACGTTTGGCTGGACATGCGAGAAAAGTTAGTGCTCGAGCCACAGCACCGGTTGCCCTTAAGGCTGCCACGAGGTAGCAGCTGAATGCCTTAATACGTATCCTGTGCAGTTCAGCTGTACCCTCGTGACGTTCTCTGTCGCGCCTTTGGGGTACTTGTTTGAGATCCACGGCTGCTGCTGTCGCCGCTTGCCGCTTCAGGATGCAAAAAGACATTGACGCCTTCCATGCGGGGAACTACACGGTTCCCGTCGATGCAGACGTTGACGAGTCGGTGCAGCAGGAGCACCACCAGGCCGAGCATGCCGGGCAGAAGAAGGATGAGCTCTGAATTGAGACTTCTCTTTCCGTCTCTTGGGCACGGGGGTTGTGCAGTTGCTGCAGCAGTGTGGGTGTGCAATGCGCTGTTTGATGCTGCTCGCCTGAGAAGTGCCGTTTTGTACGGATGCAGAGGCTGCAGAAGGGCCAGTTCAGTGGATGGAGGCGGGGTGCTTTTGCTCCCTGCCTGAATGCTTTTGTAACGGTCCCTGGCGTTTGCAGCTTGCTGCAGACTGCATGCGGACGCCAAAATAGCTATAGTGCAACCCTTAGCTCGATGTGAGCAGCAGCAAGTAGATGGGTTACAGGCTGGCAAGCGGCTTCTTGCATGAGCACTGACACTAATACAAGGTTCGCACCTTCACACAAGGGCCGATGCCTTCGTTTAGCGTTCTAAATGGGCTGCTGGTGCTCAAATGGCAGAGATATCGACTCACAAATAAGACAAAACGCAGCCTCTGCAATTGCATTGCAGCCCCTTCTGCTATGTTGCTCGTGGAGCTAAATAGGGTGCAGCTCAGTGCCTGCTCGCCACGGTGCGTGGCTCGATGACTTCCAGCCGCTGCACTGCCTAGAGCTCCTAGTGGAATTAGAGCTTACATGCACGCCTCACTCGAAACGTTACTTTTGTGTACTTTTTCTAGCCAGTACTTTATTCGGTAGGCAGTGAGTCTCGCTTTCGTTCTGTTGACCCCTGCAGCGTTTTGCTAGGGGTGCTTGCGCCTCCACCGATCGGTTAGCGTCGAGAGTGCGAAGGCGGCAGCTAGCCATCTTGCGACTGAAGATGGAGTATAGGAGTGGCCCTCTCTCTGTGGAGGATCCTTCCTAGAAGGCTCCTCCACACATGCCATTAAGACAGCTGCCGAGGCAGCATCAAGCCGCCGCCAGTGCGGCGACCACTCGCACTCTTGCCTCGGTGAGGAGGCCTTTTTTTCACATAAATAGCAGTCTCCCGCGGCGCGAAATCCTGCAGCAAGCCGGGGAAGAGAACAACAACCCCACCCCCCCGGGGGTGGCCCCGAGGGCCCCGTGCCAGCCCATGGAATGCAGGGCCCCCCGAGTTGCCGTCTCTTTCTCCAGCAGGTAATTTCTGAAATTTTTATTATTTATTTCGTGAAAGGCAGAGGCAGCGGCGAAGGGAAGGGCAGCAGCTGCATCAGCAGCCGCCGCAGATGCAGATGGCAAGTCTACCTCTGGGTGACCGTTCACCAGTGCCCTGCTGCAACACATCCCCCTAAAGCACCACGAAAAACACAGATATCGCAGCAAACGGATCTACAGTGTCGAAGGTGGCTACATCTCACGCCAGGCACAAGCATGGACTCTTCTCAGCGACCTCTTCTCCACACAGACCCCCGCCAGCGCAGCCCCTTTGCCCAGCCTGCGACAGCAGCAGCTGCTGCTGGGCGAAGCAGCCGCAGCAGCAGCAGCAGCACTGGGGAGTTTGTGCTGGTTCCCTCGACGTCTCCCTTTGCCAGGCCCTCCACCTCCTCACTAGAGAACAGCTGCAATCCGCAGGTGCTTCCCCCGAAGAATACGAGCATCGGCAGCGATAGCAGCGATAGCAGCGGCAGCGATAGCGGCGGCAGCGATAGCAGCGGCGGAGATGGCGGCAGCTCTATGGGCGATTCGGTGTCTCTGCGCCTCGCCACTGCTGCAGGCACGGCTATAGTGAGCAGCAGCAGTAGCGCAGCAGGAGAGGATCATCCTGGAAGTCTTCCTCAGCAGCAGAATTTGCAGCCCAAGCCTTATGCTTCTGCAGAGACGCCGCCTTTAGTGAGCTACGGCGCTCTCCAGCAGCAGCCACACGTTCGGCAGTTGGGTAACTCTAGGCCCTTGCTGCTGAGCGAGCTGGATACTCCCTTTGACGTGGCTAGAACAAACAAGGCAGCTCTCTTTCTCGCTGGCAGATCCTCGATGCCTCCCAGTGCGCCCCTGTCTGCACCCCCCCAGCAGCAGCAGCAACCGGTGCAAACAACTGCAGGCAGCGGTCCTGTCAGCAGCACAAACAACAGCAGCAACCCTCCAAACACCACCAATCTCGTCCCTGCTTTTCCAGAGCGCAGCTCGGCTGCACTCAGAAACAGCGCTGCACTGGCACCTGCTGCACTCCCCAGCAGCAGCAGCAACAACAATTGCAGCAGCAACAACAATTGCAGTAGCAGCAACAACAATTGCAGTATCCTGAAATCGTCAAAAACCTCTCATAGGGATGCACAAAGGCCTAACAGCAGCAACCCTGCTGTCTCCGGGCTTTCCAACAGCAGCAGCAGCAGCAGCAGCAGCAGCAGCAGCAGCAGGGCAGAAGCAGCAAAAACAATTGCTGCCTCTCGAGAGTTGATCGCTCGAGTGGGGAGAGTACTCAGCTCGCAGCCAGCATCTCTGGCAGCACAAACACTCGCTGCACGGGGTGCTGCTGCGCCTCAACTGCCAGATCTCACTTTTCCGTTGCCACACGCTGCATTGGAAAAGGCTTTTCATGCGCGACTGCCTGCTGCTACGCCTCTCGCCACTGCACTGCGCACTTCTCGACAGTCGTCCTCCTCCCTTGCAACGTCGTCGCTCCATGGCAGCCAGCAGCAGCAGCAACAGCAGCAACAGCAGCAGCAACAGCAACAACAGGTGCTGCTGCAACGTGTCACGCAAGTGCACCGGCCGTCTACAGCCTCAGAGGCACTCGCTTGGTCCTGGTCGGATGAAGACGCTGAGGCAGCCATGCACCAGCTGCTGCTACCCCAACAACAGCACCAACAACAAGTACAGCAGCAGCAACAACAAGTACAGCAGCAGCAACAACAAGTACAGCAGCAGCAAAAGGTCTTGCGGCGACAGCACGGCTCCTATGGAGAGCTGCCCGACGGCAAAGGCGCAGACAGTGAGCTGAGCAGCAGCAGCAGCAACGACAGCAGCGATAGCAACAGCAGCTTTAGCAGCAGCAGTGACTTACCGGCTTTTCAGGGAAGATCCTCCCCATGTGATGCTTCGAAGCTCCACCAGAGGCCTCTCTCGCAGGTTGGTGGCGTGTCAGCAGCAAAAAACTCTGTCGTTCAGCCTGCTGCCCTCTCCCATGCGATAAAAGACAGCAGCAGCAACAGCAGCAGCAGCAGCAGCAGCAGCAGAGGCGCAGCTCGCACGAACAGCAAGCTGATGGCGTTGACAGAGGGGAAAGATGCCTTCGCTGCAGACGGAGGCGGTCTAGAAAGTCGCTGCACGACTGCAGGTTGGTCAGAAGGACGGCTCTACGGGGTGTCGAACGAATAGCTCACTGCTGTTGCTGCTGCTGCTGCCGTTGCTAGTTGCAAAAAATGTCTTGCTGCTTGAGCGTAAGCGCCTCCTTCCTGTGCTTTTTTGGCGTATGTCTGCTGCTGCTGCTGCAGGAGGAGCGACGGAGTCAGCAACACCCACCCCAACTTCAGCTGTACGGACATGGCAGCAGCCTCCGCAGCAGCCGCTGCAGCAGCCGGATATGCAGTTTGACGAGGTTTGCGATTTCGACGAAAGTGGCGAGAGTGACGCTTCTTCACTGACCCCTAAACCACAGCAGCAAGAGCATCAGCAAGAGCAACACAACAAGCGTCACCTCCAGCCACTGCTGCAGCAGCATTCGCATGAAAGCCTTTCTTCCTCCTTGCATTCTTCAGAGCTGGATGCAGTGGAAACAGCTCTCGCCGCCAGTCCAGACGACCCCTTGAGCCTCTCGCTGGGAAGTATGCATCAGCAGCAACATCAGCAGCAACATCAGCAGCAACATCATCAGCAATATCAGCACCAACATCATCAGCAGCAGCAGCAGCAGCTGTGTCTCTATCCAACGCTGTTGGGTAGGCCACCCCACCACGCTATGCAGGCAGAGACTGGTAACGGTGGCGTTTTAGCGCCGCTGCATGCGGATGCTTTGGATCCTGCTGAGGAAATGTCTGATGCAGAGATCAGAAGCAGCAGGAGTGGCAGCAGATGGCCTCATCACATGTCGCCTTCGCTGACGCAGACAGCGGATTTTGGACGGCTGCAGGATGACTCGTCTCGCACGTCTTCTCCTGCTTCCTTAGTCAAGGCGGCAGCAGCAGACACAGCTGTGCAGCTCGCTCTTCTTGTCTCTCCAGTGCCCTCCTTTGGCAGCAGTGGGAAGCTTCTGTTGTCGCCTCCCAGTGCTGCCGCGCGAACTGTTGCGTCTGAACAGAGCAGTCCGCTGTGGCTACAGCAGCAGCAGCCGCTGCAGCAGCCGCCGCTGCAGCAGCAGCAGGAGCAAGCGCACTTGCAGCTCCTGCAGCTGCTGCAGCAGCAGCACGCAGCAGAGATCAGGTGCAGCAGAGAGCGGCTGCGAGATACGCTTTGGCCTTCTTTGCAGCGGCTCGATGGTCTGCTGCACGATGCAGAGCTACAGCCAATGCAACTGTGGCGAGCAGCAAGTCGCTGCCATCCGCAAACGTCTTCCCCCGAAAACGAGGAACTAGGAGAGGAGGAGCAGCAGCAGCAGCAGCAGCATGTTGACGAGTTCTCAAACGAGATCGAGGCTACCGAAATTTACATCCAACACGTCGTTGAGTGCTGCTGTGACGCAGTCACGAGGGTATTGCAAGCCCACCAGCTTAGAGGGCAGCTGCTGCTGCAGGTGCAGCAGCTGCAGCAACAGCAACAAGCAGCAGCAGCAAAACACAGCGAAGCGCTTGGCAGACTGCGCAAGCAGAACGATGCACTTGCTGCAGAGGTGAGCAGCGGGAGTTGCGGTGTCTCCGCAGGTGTTGTTGGTGCGGGATCTCTTGGGGCTGCGTGCTTTCTGAAAGCGAAGGTACTTAAAAGTGGCGTCGCTGTAGGGTATAAGAGCCGGTGTATGTACGTGGAGTCTTGCGCACACCTAACGAAGCGCTGAGACAAAGCACTGCTGCCTGACTGCAGGCAGACGCCGCTCGTGCAGTGTCGTCAGAACTGCAGCGGCGAGCCGCTGCCGCTGCAGCCACGCAGCAGCAGCTGCTGGCGACGCAGCACAAGCATGAGGAGCTGCAGAGGCAGCTGCAGGAAGCTCGGAAGAAAATCCAACTGCAGCGTGCGATGCTTGACGACAAGGAAAACCAAATCAAAGTGGTGAGTTTTCTGAGCAGGAAGGCAGTAGGTTCTGCCAGTAGAAGGGCCTTTTTCCTACTGGGGTGTCTCCGGAGAGTTCTCTCTTCTGCTGCGCTGCTGTCTCGACAGCAGCAGCAACGCCGCACGTTCTGGCAGGGGTCGCTGCGTGTTTGTGTGTGCGCTGAAATCCCCTCTCAGATGCGGCAGCGTGAAGCTGTTTCAACGAGGCAGCAGCAGCAGCAACAACAAAAGACACCCCGAACGCTGCAGTCAGGAAGCCTCTTCAGAAGATCATCTGTTGGAGGATCTCAACAGCAAATACTGAGGAGGGAAGCTCTCGATTTAGCGAGACAGTATGAAGCCAAGGCACGTCACTTTTCGAGTGCTCTCGCGATGCTGCTTCTTTGCCTGCTGTCGCTGTAGAGCTGTGCTGATGCAAGAACACTGCTTTTGCTGTTGCTGCTTTTGCTGTTGCTGCTTTTGCTGTTGCTGCTTTTGCTGTTGCTGGCAAGAGCAGCAGAAGCAGTAATCCTGCAGCAGAAATATTGGCAATGGATGGCTGTGTGCCCTGCTGACGCCTAACGCTCACGAACTCCCTAGGCGTTCACTCTATTTCACTGCTGCTGCTGCTGCCGTCACTCTTTCCCGCTGCAGGTTGAGGCTCAGCAGAGGGAGATAGAAGGACTGTCTGCCGCTCTTGAAGTTGCTCAGCAGCAGCTGCAGCAGCAAGGCGGCAGCTGTGCAGCCGATGCATCCGCAGCAGCCGCTGCAGCAGCAGCAGCGACAGCCTTGAACGAAGCGAAAGCAACTGCGAAAGCAGAGAAAAAAGCAGGTGCAGATCTGCGGCACAGAGAACAGTTGCTGCAGCAGGAGGTACAACGGCTGCAAGAGCAGCTGCGGGAGCAACAGGAGAAGCAGCAGCAACAGGAGAAGCAGCAGCAACAGCTGCAACAGCAGCAGGATAATCAAGTCGCAGTTCTTCGCTCCGAGGTTGCGATGCTCAACGACACTCTTGCCAAAGAAAAAAGAGAGCGATCCAATGTGTGTGCAAAAGGCCCTCTTCCGCATTTGTTACTGCGTCTTACAGCTCTCTCTTGTCTGTTGGATTGCCTGTCTTTGAGTATGATGCTCGCCTCTTGAGCCTTATCATGCTCAGTATCCTGCAGCTGCTGCACGACTTGCTAGTTGAGCCGTGCTTGCTTCTAAGTCGCAGACACCCCCTCTCGAGCTGTCTGATCGATCTTTCATGATGTCTCTGTTGCTGCTGCGCAGGCTGAAGCTGCCTCTGCGCTGCAGCTAAAGTGCTGCGAAAAGGCAGCCGCAGAGCTGAGAGCCACTAAGGAGGAGGTTAGTGTGGAGGCGTGGCGTGCTTGCTGCTGCTGCTGCTGCTGCTGCGGCAGGTGCTCCGTGTGTTGAAGCTTCCCCTGTGGCTGCTGCCTGCCGCTTTCTGAGAGGCTGTCTGCTGCTGCCTCTGTCTACATGCTGCCTTGTTGTTGTGCAGCTGGAGGCAGAGGTATCAACGCTGCGCTTGCGACCATCGGCAGAAGACGTTGCGATGCTGCATGAGCAATTACAGGAGCTTCAGGTTTGCTGTCATGTGGCAGTGACGGAGACGGAGGGAGGGATGAGGGGTGGACGCAGCTATACGCTTTTTTCTCCTGCTTTGCTGTCGCTGCTCCCAAGCTGCTCAGGCGAGTGCTGGTGCCATTAGCCTCAGCGCCTCTTCGGGTGTCGTTACACTGCGGCTGCAGGAACAGCTGCATCCTCTGAAGCTTGGAGAGCGGTGTGATGATCCCCGGCTGCTGATGCGTTGCGATAAGGCGCTTCAAGGCATGCAGAGGCAGACGCTGCATCAGCTCATCAAGGTAGCTCCCTGTTGCAGCAGCGCAAATTCGTGGCGTTGCTGCTGTTTTGCTTGCAGGTTGCTTTCTAGTGGCTGTGCACCCTACGGCGCTGCAGTGTTTAATGGGTGTCAGTGTATTTGCTCTCTCGTCTGCCTGATGGTTGCTGTGTGAAAACTGCAGAGCTGCTGCGTGGCTTTCCGGTGTCTTCCCGCGAGTCTTTCAGAGGTTGCTGCGTTGCACCAGCAGGGGGAAAGCATGCAGCAACAGCTCTCACAGGTTAGCAGCAAGTTCTTCAGAAAGGGCATCAAGAAGGAAATGCATGCCTTTGCAAGGGCGAAAGAAGCCGGTAGCGCAGAGAAAGAAACAAAGACCGCCAAATGCCTATAGATATATACATATATAGATATATATATACATCAATCTCCTCTCGCGCGCGTGCGAGAGGAGATATCCTACTGCAGTGTTCTCCATGCCTTTTGCTGCAAGGAAAGCATGTCAGCTTGAGAGGAGGATGAGCAGAGGAGGGAAGGAAGGAAGAACGGCTGGACGCAAGCAGTCCTTTGTAGCGGGAAATAGCAGCGGCAGCACACTTGCCTTTCCATAAGGGCAGAGCAGCAGCGTGCAAAGCGTCTAAATACGCCTTTCTTTCTGCATGCTGCCTTGTATTTAGGTGATGCTAGCTCTGCTGCTCGAAAGTGCACCGCCTTCGGATGCGGAGCTTGTGAAGATCCTGAAGAAGCGACTCAAGCAACAGGGTGTACGAGGAATAGGAGCAGCCGGCTGTTGCAGCAGCTTGCAGCAGCAGAAGTTGATTTTCATCGTGAGGGGCTTAGTGAGACTCAAAAGCCACGCAAAGGTGGTAAGACACCCAAGGAGTCACTCCCGTGGCGCTTGTAGCTGCGGCGTTTGTGAGTGGTCGGCGTCAGCCTGCTGTCGCAGCTGTCGCAGCAGCAGTTGCTGCGACAGCTGCTGCTCTGTGCACCCTTGCAGGCAGGCACGTTAGTTGGGCATGCGGGGTGTGTTTGCAGCTGAGCAACTACACAACGCTGCAGCGGCTGGTGGTGGGGTTGGTGGAGCCTTTGAAGGCGCAGCCCACGGTTTCTGCGGAGGAGCAGCTGCAGCAGCAGCAGCAGCAGCAGCAGCAGCAGCTTGTCGCTCTCCTGGAGGAAGGGTGGTGCAAGCAGCGTCAGCACGATCTGGACCTGGTGCAACCCCACCAACAGCCGCATGCAGACTTCCTCGCTCGCCTTGTCTCCATGCAGCAGCAGCACGCGAGGCAGCAGCAGGACTTGCTGGCAGCGGCAGCAGCGGCGGATGCTCGCGCGGTGTCAGTACTGCGTTCCCAGCTCACGCAGCAGCAGCAGCAGCAGCAGACATCGACTGACCAGCTAAAGAGGCAGCAGTTTCTCGAGGATCTAAAGACGCGGCTCGGTTACAGTACAGTAGAAGAATGCATCGCCAGCGTTCAGACAGCAGTTCGTCACCATAGGCCTCTAGACACTTTATTCAAATCCGTCTGCGACCTCTTAGGCGTTCCGCGAAGCACCGCAACGTGCATGCAGGTGAAGCGTTTGCATACCATCTTGCGAGAGGGAGGAAGACTCCACCTCAGCTCAGCGTTTAGTACTGAGCGAGACAAGCTTTTTCCGGTGTACAGAGCATATGTTTTAGCTTTTTTTTGGTGTTGGGTCGCCTCTGTTGTGCTCAAGGTGGAGAGAGAAGTGGTGCGACTCCTCGACCAACAGAAGCAACACGCCGAGATGCTGCAGCAACAACAACGCCTGATAGTGCAGCAGCAAGCGATCATCCTGAGCAGCAACACGCTTGTTACTCCCTCCGCTGTTGCCGCTGCGAACGCGCAACTCGCTGCCGCTGAAGCAGCTGTCGCAGCTCAGGAACAAGTTCAAGCACCTTCCGCAACGTCACAACAGCTGCAACAACAGCAGCAACAACAGCCGCAACAACAGCAGCAACAACAGCCGCAACAACAGCTGCAACAGCAACCAAGCTCTGCTGCCGCTGCATCCAAGGAGACAGTAGCTCGTGTGCTTGGCGAACTGCTGCAGTCAGTCATTCAAGGGTAACCTGCCTTGAATGCTGCAGCGTAAAGGAGCTACAGACAACCTCTTGCTGCAGCCCAAGAGCAACTGTTGCTGCGGCATATAGATACAAGGCAAAGTATCTAGACACCACCTAATGCTAATGGGTATCCGTGTCGCCTGCTGGCAAGCGGCTGTCTGCGTGACACACGTTTTTCACAAAAGTATGAAATGAAGCCAGTTTTGAATTAAGTCGCAGAACGCACAGTAAACAGCCCTAGGCATTCGGTTCAAAATGCTGCCACAAGGCACAGCAGCAGCAGCAGTACCTGCTGCTGCCGCTTAAAAGAGCATGAAGGACCCCCACGGCGATAGAGCACGGCTTGCTGCAGCTCAAAGTTGTCTGCGACTGCACGCGCGATCTAGCCAGCGGGGGACGGCTCTGCTCAGTTGCCCTAGGTGCTTGCTAACTAGCAGCAGCAACACTAGCTGGCATAGCCGCAAATAAGATATCGCAGCTACGGGTGGAAACAAGACAAACAAGGGATGCTGCTAGGGGGAGCTCTGATATACAACAACGACGCACACCGCAGCAGCTGCGCCTCGAAGCGCAGCTGCTGCCCTACACCCCAGCAGCGATCCGTGCTGCTGCTGCTGCTACACTTTGCTCGCAGCAGGACCACAGCAGCAGCTGCAGCTGCCGCTGAAACATTACAAAGAAAATCTAGGAAGATGTTACGTAAAGGGTCGGAGCTGTCTCCCTGCCTGTCACCGAGCTGCTGCTGCTCCTCAAGCGCTGACAGTCAGCAGCAGCAGCAGCAACACCACCACCACCACCACCACCACCACCTGCAGTGAAGGACAGCTAGATTTCTCGCTGCTACCAACGCTGTGAGAAACAAAAGACGACCCCTGACTCCCAATGCCAAGTGTTCTAGCTATTTTGCAGCAAATTCTAACACGCCACGCTTCATGACACTCGCGAGCCTCAGCCCTGCTGCTGTGGATATTCTGCTGCATCAAAGAACAAGGATGGATTACTGACGATCTGACTGCAGCAGCACGCCACGAAGAACATTTACCTGCTGCCGCTCTCTTTGTTGTCACAGCTGCCAGTGCAGCAGCACCCGCAGGAGACGAACGTCGGCGTGACTCCCTCACGCCTCTCCCGCACCTTGCTGCTGTATGGGCTGAGGTGGCTGTGCTGCTTGCTGCTGCTGCTGCTGCTGCTGCTGCTGCTGCAGCACAGGAGGATGCCCTGCAGCAGGAGCTGTCGCTGGCAAGACTGCAGGGGGAGGCGCTCCCGCTTGCGTGAGCAGCTGCTGCTGTTGCACGGGAGGCATCTGCATCAGTGGATACGGGGGGTACAGACCTAGTGGGAAACTGGTATGCGCATACTGCGGAGCAGCAGCAGCCGCCGCAGCTGCTGCTGCGGCAGCGTAGGGAACCTGCACATATGGACCTGGGTAAGGAACTAACCCCGGGAGGGGGGAGTAAACTTCTGCAGGAACAAAAGGCACTTGCGCGTACACTGGAGCACCTCGCTCCACTGCAGTGCCCTGCATCAGGAGCAAAGGCTGCGGCTGCGGCTGCTGCTGACGCTGCTCGTGCTGCTGCCAGTAGCGAGTCGGATCAGCATCGGCAGCGGCAAACTGCGGCTGCGGATACTGCGCTTGCTGGCTCCCTTGCGACTTGCGCGATCCAGGTGTACTGTCAGCACCCCGTCTGTGCAGCTGCTGCACTTGCAGCTGCTGCACGTGCATGCAGCCATCCACAGAGGTCACTCTGTTGGTCTGCAGGGGCGAAGAGGCACCGCGGGGCTTTTCTGCTCTCGATGGCGGGTGCATCATCGCATGCTGCTGCGATTGCTCGTTTGGCACTGCTGCAGCAGGTGCTGCTGCTGCAGACGCTGCTGCTGCAGAAGCTGCTGCAGAAGCTGCGGAAGCAGCAGCTGGAGACACAGCTGCGCCAGAAGCAGAAGCAGCACCAGCGCCAGTGCCCGCAGTAGGGTGCCCATCCCCCGCGCAACTCTTCTTGGCTCTGTTCCTCAAGACTGCTGCTTCCGCTGTTGCTGCTACATTTAGGTTGGCTGCTCCTCGCAACTCCTCCAGCAACGCAACAATGTTAAGGCCATGTACAGAAGCGAACTTCTCGAGCTCCGTCCGACGGTAGCTGCAACAAAACGCACACACAGACACAACAACAGCTACGCCCAGCAACATGACCCTTCAACCCCACCCATAGAATACCTCCACCACAGCCAACTCCTAACTCCTTCTTCCTTCGCCCTCCCCCCCCTCAACGCCACAGCCCTAAGCGCAGTCTGTGGCACATGCACGGTAGATGCGTGAGCGGACTGGTCAATACGCCTACAGCAGCAAGTGCAACAACAGCTAGAGCAACACTAAAAGAACAACTACCAAACAGCAACTACAACAGCAACACCAACTACAACAACACCAACTACTACAACTACAGCAACACCAACACCAACAGCAACAAAAGCAACTACAACACCAACTACAACTACTACAACAGCAACAACAGCGAAACCAGGTCTCTTTGATGAATAAAAAATCGAGGCTCACTTGCGTTTCCGTAGTTCCTTCTCTCCGTGCGCGTGACGGCAGCTATCGCCAGCTGGACAGACACCTCCCCTTACCCAGAACTTGCACAGTTTCGTCTGCAGTAGCAGATGCAACGGCAGCAACAAGGGCAGCGAAGGTGCAGCAGCAAGCCTCTGCAATATGCAGAGAGCACCAGCAACACCCGCCCTCCCCTTCCCCTCCTCCTTCTCCTCCTTCCCAATTTGAACACCACCACTAAGACGCCGGAAAGGCGCTGTCCATACAGCCTTCCCCACAACTACGGGGTGCACTACCCACCTTGTAGTAATCGCTTGTGCTTCGCAGTTCTGCCTCCCCATGCGCAAAGAGGCAGGAGGCATCATTGACAGGGCAGGTTCCCTGCAGCGCACACACGCCGTTCCAGGAGCGCCCCCTAAATCTCGAGTCGTGCACTTCCTTCAGTCATGCAAGACCATGCAAACACACTGGAAAAAGTGACGGATCCCTCGAACGCGCAAACGGAAGCTGAAAGTACACCACAACCCTCAAACTACACGCCAGACACGCCTAGCTGGACCCCCTCATTCCCCAGATTCCCCAGAGCAGCCTGTCTCACCGCCTGCCAATGTACACACATCTTCGTCTTCGTCAGCGCCGGTGGCTCTCGCAGCTCTTCTACGCTGTGCGCATAGCTGCAGGCGCGACTCTTTGTGCAACTCCCGTTCAGGAAATTCTGGCACATCTTGATGCTGTAAGCAGACACCCAGAGACAGACAAATACGCAAAAATAAACTCCTCTCAGAACCGCCCCCTCCTCTGCATGCACCTACAGGACACAAGCCAAGGCAGGCCTGCATAAATATATATATATAAATATATATATATATATATATATGTATATAAATATATGCATGGCGGTGAATTTGTCTCGCCTTTAAAGCCTCTCCCTGTCAGAAATACGCGCGCACTCGCGCTGGCAGGGGAAAAAGTGAGAGAAAGAGAGAGAGGAGAAAACGTGAGAGAAAGAGAGAGAGAAAAAAAGAGAAGAAAGAAGAAAAGGGATAGTGGGAAATGAGACGGAGGGGCACGTCGACTGATCACCAATTGCTGAATGGCATGTTTACCGGAAGAATTGATCCTCCACATGTTGTGCCTTCCTCTTAAACATGGAGTGTGTAGCATCACTCTGAGCTCTGGTCCGTGGTCTACTGCAGTTGCTGTTGCTGCAGTTGCTGTTGCTGCAGTTGCTGTTGCTGCTGTTGCTGCTACTGCCTGCACGGTTTCTTGGAGGACGCGTTCCTCGCCGTTTTCTTGAAGGACTGCAGCAAGCTGCAGCAGCAGCAGACGCGGAAGTTGTGGTGTGGGCTGCAGCGGCGGCTACAATGCCTTCAGCTATCCTGCCCATTTTTCCTGCAGCAGCACCACTCCCTCCTGAGCCGCTTGCAGTTGCTGCTGCCCCTCCCTTGTGCTGCTGCCTCCGATGACGATGGGAAATTCGCCGCGAGCAGCCATCACCATCGAGCTGCTCTGAGAGGGGTGGTCCTCCCTGCTGCTGCTGCTGCTGCTGCTCCTGCTGTTGATGTTGTTGCTGCTGGTGTTGTTGTTGTTTTCGCGGTGCCGTTTTCTCGGAGGATTCGATGGCTGAAACGATGAGGCTGGGAACCTGTTGCTGCGGCTGCAGGCCCTTTGGCTTTTCTTGCCTAAATTCTTGCTGCTGATCTGCGTGACGCAGCTTGAGGTGCTGCATCTGCTGGATGAAGAGCTGCTCCTGGAGCACCTGCATCTGCTGCTTGCTCTGCGGACAGTCTCTTAGTACGCCACTCACGAGGCTTGGAGCGGAAGGGCTCCGACGCATGAAAGCTTCAGCAGCGGCAGCAGCAACCGCCGACTGCTGCAGCGCAGCGGCTGCCACCCACGGTCTGCTGGTGGGGAGACTTCCTGCGCCTGCTGCTGAGGCTGGCAAGTCTGTATTGAATACGCGCAGCCAGGAGCTGTGCGGTGTATCGACAGGACTAGACTCGGAATCTCGATCCAGGCTGGCTCCACTGCCAGTGCTGTGGCTGCTGTTGTTGCTGCCGTCGCAGCCTTGGCCTCTGCATGCGGTCCTGCCTGTGCAGCTGCAGCTGCTCTCCCGGAGGGTGTTTGCCCTTGGCGGCATGGCAGCATCCCCTCCCACAATTGTGCAGCCTGGATAGTGTAGGGACGGTATCATTCTTGAGAACCCTCCTGCTGCTGCACTGGCGCTGCTGCGAGCGCCTGATCGACCCTTGAAGGTGTCGCTGCGTTTGGGGGATGCTGGAGGTGTTGAAGCCAGCCTTTGTTTAGCCGCAAGAAAGAGTCCTTTTCGTGAATCGCAGCTGCAGCACTGCTGCAGCTACCAGGCCATCACGAGTCTATGCCGGGTGGCGGTAGTGGCGCCTGAGCGTTTGATCGCTGAGGGAGGGGATCTGCCACAGCGAGCAGGAGGACAGAAGGAATGCAGGCCCTTCTTCTTCTTCTAATTTGCAGCAAAATAAGCGACTGGGAATCGCGAGAGAAGACAGGCCCGAAAGAAGGGCAAGCCGAGGGGGAAGCAGGTCGAGAGGGAGCAGCAGGGAGCAGGCGAACTAAAATGGACGCGCAGGCAGAGGGAGGTCATTCAGGGCCTCTACAAGGGGCATTCGCAAGTAGTTTTAGACGTTAAGAGCAAATCGCACGAAACAACTGAGAAAGAGTATCGAAATATGTTCTCACATGGTCTCTGCTGTCTCCGCAGCCCTAGACGACGGACGGGGCGGGTACAGTGCTGCTGCGCATGGCATGTCTGTCGAGGAATCCCACATGGCTTCTTTGTCCTTTTCCCGCTTCATCTTTATACAATTACCACAGTACGCGTATTCCTTGCACAAAACCGCCCGTCATCTCAGCGATTCCTGTCCGTACGCCCCTCCGCGCGGCACTGAGCGAAGATGCGTGCGATGAGCAGAACAGTGGCTTTAGATAGGGTTAACGCTCTTAAGCGCGGCTCCCAACTTACGCAATTCATAATATAACCTTTGTCCATTTTCTATAGATTGTGCAGAGTGGGAGGAAGTGTCTTTTCGAGGGGAAGCCCTCCATATTTTTCCTGCTCCCCACAAGGTATCGTGTCCATCGAGGGCACATCTTTCACCCTAACTTCCCCTTTGGAATATCCAAACGAGGCATCCTACGGCGCAAAGGCACTGCGAAGCTTTTATCTCTCTCTCCCAATGATTCGTAATGGACTGCAGGTGGGCCGTAAAGAGGAACTAATATAATTTGTCTTGCATAGGTTTTCTGTGCACAAGAAATCTCAGTCCTCAGACCCCCATAGGGATTTCATGGAAAGGTGTTGCAAATCCTTCCGAAGGGCTGGCACGCTTACCTCGTATTCACCCACACCACAGGGCTCACGCTACAAACTGCTGCACTCCCTGTGAACTCTAAGCTGTCGCATAGTAACAGACCGGCACTACACACAGCACGGAGCATACTTCAATGCGGAATAAAGTGAGCCCTAATATGCAACACATACAATATCTGAATCTCCATGTCATAAAGACAAAGGCCTTGGGTACGCTCACAACAGCAAGTGCACCATCAGCTGCCCAAGTTTTGGCTAGTTCGCTACGCCTACGACCATGGTTTACCAGGGCACGGCCGCATGTCAAGTGAAGGCCTTTCAAAAAAAATTGCAGGCAAAATGTAAGACGCTCTCATACGCAGAGGCCAATCATCTCTAAAGCAAACAATGCCGTGAAGAGAGGTCTAATGTAGGTTTCGCGCAATGGCCTCGGTGGAAACATGCATTACTCCAGGCTCTAAGGTCAATAGTCAGTTGTTGAGTATTTGTCGAAAATATGTTTTCCTGCCCTGCCCTCACCCCTCAGCGGTTTTGCATCTGGAACGAGGGCTAGCTAGGCTTCGCCTAATGCACGCTCTGTGTATCTCGAGCAGTCATGGCTTGCTGCACGTAGCATCTGCCGCACAGGCATGCACAGAAACTGATTCTGATTCTACCGAGCAATTGCTACTCTATAATTAAAAAGCGTATGAACAAACAAACCAACAAGCTAATTCTTCATTAATATTCAACTGAGTAGAACGCGCGTCGTAGAAAGCGTCCAGGTGTGCTTGACAATTTACGTGTTCCCCTTCGCCTCCTGCCGCACGCACCCTCGTTTTTCTTATTTCTAATTCGAGGCAAAGGTCGTGCAAGACATCAAGATAGCTCCCATTCTACTGCCAATCTCCAGACGAGCGAAAGCGAAAAAATAGATTGCGAGTGAAAAAGCCAAAGCTGAAATCCGCCAGTGGTGAAATACAGGGGACTAAAGGTACACACATTAGCCACACCCCTGCCCTGTTAGTTTCTCCTGGAGGCTCGGCCGCCCACAAAAGCTCCGTTGAAAGGGCAACAGCGTCACTACTACGCACGTCAGAAAGGAGAAACAAGCCGGTGACGGGGGGGATGGGAGCTGTCCCGCTATCTTGCACGTGCTTTGCCTTGACGTAGACACAAAGAACACGAGGGTTCATGTGGCAGGAGGCAAGCGAGAAGATGTCTACACGACCGCGGAGGCACGATGGCTTGTTCTCGTCTCACTGCAGCACTTAAATGTAAGATTTCTGTTGTGATGCAACAGAAAACGAGCGAAATCTGAGAAAGAAAATTTAGTTGGTCGTAATTTTAGCAGAACCTCCGCGCCTTCCACGACAGTCTCTGCATGCAAATACAGCCGACGCATGCAGTATAGTCAGAAATCAATTACCAAAATAGGAAAGGGGAACATGTATGGACACTATACATCAGAATGCTTGCGCATAAATCTGAGTGTAAAAGACCGTTTCCAGTTTTTGTTGTGTTCAAAAACCCGATCAAAAGATGAAGGTTTATTTCAAAAGGAACGAGCATGAGCATTTTCAGACAACTTGAGTGGGACTGGCGATGGTGACTAGTGCTGTGAGTCACGCAAGGATGCAAACAATCCTGTGGGCAACGAGGCCTGCATGCGGGTTACGTCCCAGCCCAGCAAGCTCCACAAGTAATTCGGCCATTTTAGCAGCTTAATTAGGAAGTCACTATTAGTAGTTCCATGATACCACCAAAGTTATGGCAATCAATAGGGGCGGAATCGGCAGCATTTTGTGAAAATAGCGAATAGCCTTATTCATCTGGCCTTAAACCCCGTGTGGTGATCCCATGGTTTTCCCCGTAAAGCCTGCGGAACCATCAGGACTAAAGCTTCAGGCGTCAAACCTACAGTCGACCATCGTTTATCATAGTCGCCTGCTTTTGCTTCTTGATCTTTGAGCGCACATTACTGTATACAGTCCAGCTGCTCTCAGTACATCCATTGCTATTGGTACCTGCTAACCCTGGGACACCGTATCCGGGCCCGTACAGCATAGAGGCTCCTCTGTGCAGACTAGGGACGGTGGGCTCCAACGGTCTAGAAACGTGCTGTTATATTATAACCTTACTCTATACATGGAGAATACCAAGCCAAACAATTGGGTTTCTGTTAGACTAGAGTTGCAGTGCTACAGAAGAGTAATGTTGTTGTGCTTGGCTGTTCATGTGCAACAGGGTGGACTTATGGCCCATGGTTAGCCAGATCATAAAGGCACGCAAGACTCCAATCACGTATTTTTGACCCTCATTCGTACTGATGCTCCTAGACAATCCAAGACGCTTCCCGATATGAATTAAGAATATTCGGGTGAGTTCCTATGCTGTTGCAGAGCTGGAACAAGGGATAAACCGGGGTATCTTGCTTGCTGAGTCTATCAACAGCGACATGAATGTCATCCTGACCCCTGAGGCCTGGCAGTTCTACAATATATTCCATTGTTAGATCACTTTAAGTCCATTACGAGGCGAAAAGGTTTTGCAGAAGGCCGGGCTTATAAGAATGGTCCTTCTTCAACTGCGGGCAATCTGGGCATGATACTGCACACCTGTATGCTACGAGACGCATCACAGACCATCGGAGAGGTCGTTGAAGCCTTTATGCTATAGTGTGTATCCCATCCTTGTTCAAGAGGCATGTTCATGGGGCTTGCCTAAAATGGCACTGCCGGGTCAGCAAGGAACTTTGCTAGTTCACAGCTGATTACCCTCAACGCCGTAGTGTATCACCCTCTTGTCATCCTGGACTTTGCCAGTAGCAGCGGCTGCATGGTTTGAAAGCAAGAGACTCATAGTATACAATAGCAACAGTGACTTACCACAATAGTGAGGCGCTGGGCGTCAGGCGAGCGCGTCGGCGACAGCGTTGGTGCTGCATTTGACTTAGCTCACTGCAAAGCCGTTCTGCAGCATGCGTACAATCCAGCCGAAAGTCTAGTATTATCAACATATTCGAAGGTCTTCTAAAGATGCCTTAAACACCAATTATCGGTCTGAGGAGTAAAACGATGCACATACAGAGAGTGTCAGCACTTTTTCACATCCCCCAACACCGGAAGGAGCTTGTTTTCCCGAATTGCATACCGTTGCCCAGTTTCAGTGAAGCACCAATCATAAATAGTAATTCAATGCCTTGGGAAACCCTCAAAGCGCTGGGAGAAAATATAATCCACCGCACTGCTATGTGTCTAGCATCAGTTGCTTGGGAAGAAGTGACGCCCACAATCCCCCCTGACCGAGCTGTGGGGTGGCCACAAAGCGTCCTTATTGTAACAGCCAATTCTTAAATCCGATTACGGAGCACCGGTTTTTTAGGTAAACCAGTTAGAAAAACAGCGATCTTACCATATCCCAGAATGAACTTCAGTAATAAGCTGGCCCACAGAACTCTGCAGGGTTTTCGCGGGTGCACAAAAGTAAAGGCCACGCTTTTATGATGCAGCGTTTTCGGTCCTGGCTCAATTTTCCTTATTCAAAGCACTGAATATAAAGAATACAACTGCTATTACAAAAAACAAAGCGGAAAAGTGCATGCATCTACGTGCTTGTCCTGCACCAGTTGAGGCGCACGTCCTAGCTGCCTTAGCTACTCTTGAACGCGTCCGCTTAACAATCACAAGGTCTCGTCCACACACGCATCCATTCACGCTACTTGATAGGCTCACTAA